CTTCTCTCTCTCTCTCTCTCTCTCTCTCTCTCTCTCTCTCTCTCTCTCTCTCTCTCTCTCTCTCTCTCTCTCTCTCACTATTCCTCTCTCTCTCTAGGTTGATGATGTATCAGTTAAAGGTTTTCTTCAATCCGACGTCGTTAGATTATTACGTTTGTCAGGGAGCTCAGTTAAACTGGTCATATCACGTCAAGAAGTTGTAGAGTCACAGCAAGACGAGGTACACTTAGTGTTTATGATCCTGTGTGTATAATCATATCTTTCTCCTTTATTGTTCTTTCTCTCTCTCTTCTCTCAAGTTTCTTGATTCTTCCGAGTCTCCTGTTGTGTCTTCATCAGCTAATAAAGTAGTGATGGCGTTTGATATTCATCTTGATAATGGCTTGGCTGGTCTTGGAGTCACAGTTCATGGGAGATGCAGTAGCAGCAGGAGACAGCAGTCCAGCGATATGGGGATTTATATCAAGTCAATTGTACCTGGAGGAGCTGCTGCTAAAGTAAAAGAGTGTGCTTTATGTCACTCCTCTCTCTCTCTCTCTCTCTCTCTCTCTCCCCCCCCCCTCAGTTATCCTTAGCTGTTGTTTTGGTTGTGTTTATTGTTTAGTCTTTGTTGTGTTTTCAAAATATTCACTGTTTGTTATCCATGGATATAATATTGATGTACATGTACATACATGTAAATTACTAAATAGCTTAAAACATGTGTATGCATAAAAAACTACATAATTTACAATCACGAGGTACATGTACTGTATTTATAATTACATACCAGAACACGTACAGGTGTATTTACAAATTTTTAATTATATGCATACTCTTACTCTAGGATGGTCGTTTGAAGATCAATGATCAGTTGATCTCAGTCAACTCTCAGTCAGTGACTAACATGAGCAACAGGGACGCAATGGAAGCACTTAAGAAAGAGCTGAGACAAGCAGAGCCCGACACAAAAATATCAAGCATTAAATTGGTGAGTCCAATAATGAATGATATTTAATGTTAGTTACTAAATTATCATTATTATTATCATTATTATTATTTTGTTGTTGATGAGCATGGGAATCGCATAAGAGCTGACAAAACAGTGACATCTGTCAATAATACCACACACATACACACGCACATACAAATGTCACCACACATGCTCCACTGTACATCCACTGTACACGCATAATCTGCCCATACACAAGAGTGTGCTCTCCGTTTCTCACAGGAGGAGGTTTCCTACTTTAAAAACTTTCACACACACTGGTAGACTCAACATGGTTTACTGTCTCATTGGCATCCTGTCTTTATAACCACTTTCTCATCCCTCCCTTTCCCCCTCTCTACCCCTCCTCTCTCCCCCTCTCTCCCCCCTCTCTCTCCTTTCTCCCCCCTCTCTCTCCTCTCTCCCCCCTCTCTCTCCCCTCTCTCCCTCCCCCCTCTCTCTCTCCCCAGACTATAGGACGTACAACTGGTCCCAATAGTAGGAAGCACCAGTCAGGAGGAGCTAGCTATACATCACAGATGCCAGCACTACAAGAAGAGGAGAGACCACCGCCTGATGGAGGGCAGACCAATGAGATTGGTATTGACTGCCCTGATGACGTAAAGGTATTATGAACATTATAGTTACAGTATGTCATGCGGTTCTATCATTAGGTCAGTGCTGTGTTGTCACAAGAGTTAGACCTTGGGGAGTCATTTGACAACCAGTCGGGAGCTGTTCATGTTAGTTAAGCTACATATACGTTATACACAATACATGTACATGTATATATTGATAGCACTCTCTCTCTTCTCTTTCAGGATGATTTAATGTTATCCCGTAGTTCCAACGGTTCCCTCAGCAGCAGTAATGGTGGATGTAGATTTGATTCTTCTCTTGAATACCCTGGCTCTAATTATTACCAGCCGATGACAACAGCTGGGAGCAGTACCGCTACTAATAATTACGAGCTGGAAGTTGGAGGAGGAGGAGGAGCAAGGGGCTCAGAATATGTTCCTGAAACCAGTCATTCAAGATCCGGCCCTTCGTCTCAAATAAAAACGACAGGAGGTGGAGGGGGGAATTCTTACAGGTAATAAATTGTTCAAGACTATTACATTGATATATCATCATTATCAGCTACAGGGAGAATTCTCTTGATCGAGCCATGCTTAAGAAGAAGCAGCCGTTAGCCCAGAAGCTCTCCGGGGGCTGGTTGAGCACTGGAGGAGAAGGAAATGAACCACTTCATAAACTGAGACATAACTCACCGATGAGACAAGACTCACTAGTTAGTACCTCTCTCTCTCACTCTTTCTTAAATACCTCTGTTACATCGTATACACTGTTACAATTGAGCCTCTTTATAATGGACACTTTGGGACAAGAAATTTAGTCTGTTATATACAGGAGGAGTGTCCTTTGTGTTGTCTGTTATAGAGAGTGTCTGTTAAGAGAGGCTCTACTCTCCATATATTTGTATTTTCAATTTTTTCCCACTCTACAAGTGTTCATGTGTTGTGTTTTACTTTTTCTCTTAGTCTCCTACTAATGAAAGGTCTCCCTGGCCCATGTCAAGTGGTCCTGATCGTTCTAAGAACTCTCACTCTCCCTCTTCCTCCTCTCTCTCCGCTTACCCTCGCTCCGCCAGCGTCCACAGTGAGCTCTCAGCCTCGGGCAGTTTCAAGTCGCATCATGTATCCCACCACACCCTCTCCTTCTCTTCTCACGCTCACGACAACTCAAAGTATAGCAGCTCAGGAAACCTCTCTTCCTCACAACGTAGCTCTAGGGACAGCAGTAATGGCTTTAGGAGAATCGGTAATGACTTGTGTCCTTCTAATGTAGTATCAATTAATTTTAATTTTTTATTGTTTAGCATCCCCTCCATATGATACACTAAAACCAGCCGGTAAAGGGAGCAACAGAAGGTGAGTCGTTTTCATATATTCACACACACACTCACATACATGTACGTGTATGTATAAATGAATATACATGCATATATTGGTGCATGTACATGTACACGTATAATTGTATTTATGTTATTATTAATATTTTGTTTGTTAGTGCTGATCATCACATTGAGTCTCATACCCTCCCAAGAATGACCAGCAGTGGCAAGTACACCATCAATGAAAGAGTAAGGACAGCTTTATGGCTAGATATTGCTAACTAGGAACTTTTGAGCCAATTCTGATGACCCTAGTTTCCTTTGTAGTACTTATACCATGTACCTTCTTCTTAGTGAATTTTTAAAGTTGCTCAAAAATCCGGTTAAAGACCCTCTACTATAATGGAGGGTATTTTGCCAACAATTGCTAGGAGAGAATTCTGGTTTGATTTTTAAATTGCTCATAACTCAAGAATTTTATGTCGGAATCAACTCAAACTTTCTACATAGCATAAGGACATCAATATGTATCAGAAAATGTAATAAAAATTTGGGGTGATTTTGGAGCCATTTTTTGGAAAAATCCATGGGCTATTATAGTACAGAGTAATTTTCAGAAAATGGCTCATTTTTAAAATGGCCGTAGCTCGAACATTTGAGCTCGGAATCAGCTCAAACTTTCTACATAGCATAAGGACATCAATATGTATCAGAAAATGTAATAAAAAATTGGGGTGATTTCGGAGCCATTTTTCAGAAAAATCCATGGGCTATAGTACAGGGCAATTTTCAGAAAATGGCTCATTTTTAAAATGGCCATAACTCGAACATTTGAGCTCAGAATTAGCTCAAACTTTCTACATAGCACAAAGACATCAATATGTATCAGAAAATTTAATAAAAATTTGGGGTGATTTCGGAGCCATTTTTCAGAAAAATCCATGGGCTATAGTACAGGGCAATTTTCAGAAAATGGCTCATTTTTAAAATGGCCATAACTCGAACATTTGAGCTCAGAATTAGCTCAAACTTTCTACATAGCACAAAGACATCAATATGTATCAGAAAATTTAATAAAAATTTGGGGTGATTTCGGAGCCATTTTTCGGAAAAATCCATGGGCTTAACTTTAAAATTTACTGACAAGTGACACTATGCCAATATCCTGTGGGAAACCCTTGGAAAACTTGGTTAGAAGCACTTTACATGCTTTTTAAATGCATAGCTCAAATTTTGAATTATGCTTGAATTTTAATAATATTAATTATTATCACATTATTAATAGGATCCCAGTGCATATAATGACTGTACAAGCCTGGCCTCCTTTTCATCGGACACTGACATTGGGAACTTTCAAAGAGATGATGCTGCCAGGAGATCGATACCTAAAAGTACTTTACCTTATTTTAAAAATTCATTCTCTCTCTCTCTCTCTCTCAGATTCAGCTAAACCTCAGCCGAACCTCAAACATGTTCCATTGGCTAATGTTGTCCCATTGGTGGATGGTGAGGGCTCACCCAGCCCTCCTCCTCTTTATAGAGTAGGATCTGACAGTGACATTACAACTGCTTTCTCCACCTACAACAATCAGTCCGGGATGCTGGACGGAGTTGAAGTTGGTCCTAATCTAAGGATGGTGAAGAGTAGCTCATTGGAGTCCCTGCAGACAGTTATGCATCACACTATTAATGCTGATGGTGCTAGAGGATTACGGTACCCATACTGTACACATACTACTTGTGCACTGCAGGATTAAAAAGCATATCTGTACTTCTTGAGCTGACAAGCCACTAAATTTATAGTAGAGGATTTTGAGGCAACTTTAAAAATTAAAAAAAAATTCTAATTTTGATCGGAATCAGCTCAGACTTGCTACACAACATAAGAACATGTATGTGTATCAGAAAAATTATAAAAATGGAGAATTCTCTCCTAGTCATTTTTGGCGAAATTTGGCCAAAGACCCTGTAAAGTATTAATAAGTTATTTTTTATTTGAATGAGCTCAAAGTTTTTATACAGCACAATGTATTATAAAATGGAAAATTTTCTATAAACATGGTTTGATTTTATTGTTACTGTTATTGTTATATTATTATCATTATTATTTTTTAGGAGTCGTGGCAGCACTAGAAACTCATTCAGGAGAGCTGTAGATCGCTCATATGCTGATGAACATAATGGTATGTCACTCCCTCCCTCTCTCTCACTTTATCTATGCTCTTGGACCCTTGTGTTACCTCTCTCTCTCTCTCTCTCTCTCTCTCTACTCTCCAGATAATTCAAACACAGTCATCAGTTTAACCAAAAGCCCAAAGAAGAAATTGTCCAGAAAGAGTTTGATTGACATATTAAAGTACTTTTAATGATAACAATAATAATAATAATAATAATAATGATAACAATAATAATAATAATAATAATAATAATAATAATAATAATAATAATAATAATAATAATAATAATAATAATAACAATATTAATATTTTATTGCTATAGGCCAAAGAAATCATCGAAATCCAAGAAAGTAAAAAAGTCTCGTTCTCGCACGATGAGCTCCATTGACATTGACCTCTCTGAGGACAGCATGGACAATCTGGCAAAAGAGTTTGGGATATCAATGGATACCATAAAACGAATGCAGAGTCACTCGGGTAAACTGGAGGGAGATGATGAGAGAGGAGCAGCTGCCATTGAGAGAGAGAGGAGGAGGACTACGGCCATTGAGAGAAGAGACGATCATTTATTTGCATCACATAACACAAGAGCTTTATAGTCTTGATTTGTTGTTGTTTTTTGTTTTTGTTTTTATTTTTTAATCAGGCACATAAATATTTATAATTGACACAAAAATTATTTTTAACTCTTGTTTTTTTTTTGTTGTTGTTAATGTTGGTTTGATATGTTGTTTTGGCAGAGATTTTTAATAAAAAATAACATTTTAATTTTTTTGCATTAAAAATAATTACTAGTGGGAGGGGCTAAAATTAGTTGTGGGTGGGGCAATCTCACTAATTAAAAATGGCGAAAGGAAGCTTACAAGAAAAGATTTATTTTTGCATTGGATTCGTAACAGGAGTTGTTTTTAGCTCACTACTTGCAATACTGTTAACCAATTATTCCTTCAGTACCATTAATTACTATTATTATTATAATGAGAAGATTTTTACCATCCCAGGAGCATCAGTAAGACCCCAGACATATACATATATAATAATACTATAACTCCTAATACTCTTTTCTTTCTCATCTCTCTTTCTTAGCTAGGGCCCGGTGTGTTTTATTATGAAGACAAGTCCCAGGACCCATTGAGCAAATCCCCTCCTCTCATTCAAGAGAAGTACATCAGCGAGGAGGAGGAGGAGGAGCGGCGATTTAAATCAGACGAACTTTTAAGCGAAGAGAGGAAAGAACGACCCCTCGGCCGTCAGAAGGCGAGTAATTTGATGGTTGTATTAATGTCTAACGAGAGAGGGGGAGGACGTCCGAACTGCCAATTGCAAGAATATCAAGAACTGATCAAGGACACTTGGGGCAATAATTTCAATAATATATTCCTTGTTGAGGACAAGAGGTGTAAGACGAGTGGAGAGGGAGAGAGAAAAGGGATCTCGTGGCTAAGGAAAAACGACTCTTTCTCGTATAGTTACGACGATGGATACTTAAACATTAATAAGCTACTGACCAAACTCCACAATGCGTTAACTTCAGAGCATCACTGGGTCCTATTCGTACAGCCAGAGACCTACGTCAACTTGAAGCGTCTCGCCCTTTTACTGGATAGTCATCGATACTTTGATGATTTAGTTTTTGGTAAATCATCTTCAGCACATTATAAAGGACTAAATGGAGGAGTTCTTAGTGCTTGTGGGCCCAATGGAGGTATAGTGATGAGTAGAAGAGCTTTGGCTAGGCTGATTAGGGAAGGGAGTACGTGTTTAATAGGGTTGGAGTCACCCCCTCCCCTTAGTACTATTGCCCATTGCATAGCTGATAATCTTCTTATTGATTGTTCCTCTCATTTACCAATGGTGAGTCGAGTGTACCGTACATTATTTTTATTATTTTTTCTTTAATATACAGACCCTGTGTTTTATTATTAATCTTATTTATGTAGTTAAATTCTTTCGATGAAGACTTTATACTGAACGATGACAAGCTCTCCTCTTTGAAATATTTGTACAAACAAGTCACCATACATCCTGTTAGGTCAAGATACTCCTACTACACTTTAAACTATTACTACACTCAATTGGAGTACAACGAAACAGCCAGCGGGATCAGGAACCTTCAACGAAACATGAAGAGGCTCTTGTCGAAAATGGCTGAAGCTAATCCGAAAAAAACATCCCCGGTCCCAGGCTTTATTTTCGCCAACGACTACCCAATGTATGAGGCACCACCGACTGACATGAGTGAACTTCAAGCTTGGATGTACTTTGATTCTGATAGCATTTATATTGATCGGGACATGGATCCAAAATGGAAACTTGGCCACTGGAAGAATGAGATCGATTTGGCTCTTTTGGAAGCATTAAGACTAGCTAATAATGACTATCACACCGACCTTGTCTATCATAATATAATAAATGGTTATCTAAAACACAGCCCCAATGGGGGCCGCTACATACTTGATGTTGAATTCAAAGAGGCCAATAATCCTTACGTAACGCTCCAGAGAAGGTTCTCATTTATGCGTCCATATCAATCGAGTTTCTTGAAACTTCCCGCAAAAAACCTTGATACCGAGGTGATTAATTTTATTGTGCCTATTAGTAGTGTCGGGAGCAGGCTAGACCAGTTTTTTGTCATGTATGAGTCCTTGATCCCAGTCTCCCTCAATCACTTGCACCTCATCCTTGTCGTGTATAATAATGACGACATCGGGAAATGTCGGGAGCTTATTTCCAGATACCATAAACTCTACCCGTCCAGTAAATTCAGTATCGTTCAAGGAAAAGGAACCTTTGCTCGTGCTAAGGCTCTTGATGCCGGTACTTCGATACTCAACGACGGCGACCTCATGTTTTTCTGTGACGTCGACATGGACGTGACGCCAGAGTTTCTGCACAGGTGTCGCTTAAACACGGTCCGCGGCAAGCAAGTGTACTATCCGGAGGTTTTCAAAATGTACAACATGAAATATGTCTATAAACTGTCCAGGATGCCGAAGCACCTATCGATATCGAGGAAGCACGGGCACTGGGGCTATTACTCGTATGGGATGCTCTGCATGTATAAAGGAGACTATGTGAAGAGTGGTAAGTTGGACACCACTTATTACGGGTGGGGCAGGGAAGACTTTGAGTTCCACAAGAGGATAATAGACTATGGCTACGATGTAGTGAGGGCTCCCGATCCTGGCCTCGTCCACAGGTGGCATCCCAAGGTTTGTAATCCTAATGGACAATGGAAAGGAGACTGTATCTCTTCGCAGACTGAGTCAATGGCTGACAGGAAGGAGCTTGGGAGATATGTCCTTGAATTGGAAAAGAATTCATCGCACTTATTTTGTATATAAAATAAGAGCTTCAACTAAAATATTAATTATAATAAGTTCATTTTAGAATAGTTCAAGTATCATTTATTCATTTTTCATGTTTAAGATTATTTGACTATTTTTGTGCCAACCGATAATTATTATAATATTCAAGAAAACTGATTAATGTTTTAATAACTATCAGTGTAAAATGTTTCAAACGAATGTCAGCCATTTTTTAGGATTTTCTATCATAATCTGATCCACTACATCTCTTGGTATGCCTCTGTTGACCATCATTGGGGCAACATTGTTAATTATATGAGAATAACCATGGCCTCCATACTTAACCTAACAAGGAAGGAAAGAGAAAAAAAGCAGATTTTTGGCAAAATTTGGCCAATGACCCTGAACTATAGTACAGGGACTTTGACTTGATTTTTGAGTAACTTTAAAAATTCTTTAAAATCCAATTTTGATTGAAATCAGCTCAAACTTGCTACAGTACATAAGCACCATTACAATTATGTAATTTTAAATGTAATTGAGGGGACAGAAGGCAGATAGAAAAGAGCTTATAGTAGTCATTGCCTCTTTCCTGTATACAGGGAGGTTACAATTGGTTTTACTGACCAATCTGTGCTTCGTGTGAATATCGTGTGATATAAAGATACGGTCTTTATAGCCACCATCAACCAAACATTTGACCATTTGTATACGCTGACCATCATTTGGCATATCAACATCTACATTGAACTAGGGGAGAGAGAGGAGATAAAATTGATAACAAGAGAGAAAAATAATTTTATTTTCTGACCTGATAGTGAGAGCATTCAATTCCAAACAGATCCAGTTCCACTCCACAGCCTGTCTCTGCAAACTTGATAAGTGAAGCACTGTCAAGGATCGTCCTATCAATGTGTGACATTACTGTCCTTGACAAATCTGCTCCAGCTTCTTTTAAAATGTCGACAATATCAAATGGAGCTCTCTCATTACGTCCAGGATGAATGATAAGAGGAGCACCTAATCATGAAAGAATTAGGCAGAAGTCTTGTGGTATATTACGCAACACCTTGTTTACACTTTAAAGTGTTAACAAGGTGTCAAAAATCAAATTTTTATGAGACAATTCTTTTTTGCTTTATTGATGCACATTTTGGCTTGAGAACACATCATGCTTAATTTACTGACCAGTTTTCCTTTGAGCAATGGCTGATCCTTGAAGTACCTTTTTCTCAAATTCATTAAGAGGCCATGAGCAGCCTATCTCTCCAATGATCCCACACCTCACAGGAGGAGATGTACCAGGTAGTCCCTCCATTATCTCTCTCACTATTGTATCAGATATCTCATGGATAGTCATATCTTTGACGTCGGGTGGTATAAACCTCTTGGTATAGTATCCTGTACCATGGACAATATGCACACCACTGGATGTGGATAATAACGGGAGGGACTGTGGTTTGGTTCGTATGCCTGTTATTGTTACATCGCATAACGTCCCACCACCTGATGCTTTATATAATTTTAGTTCTTGGACGAGATCTTCCTCTGAGTCAACCATAATGTTAGAAGCATTACTATACCTATATTAAATGAAGTATTGTAGTACTGTAACTACTGTTGTTATTATTGTTATTATTTATTATAGGGAAAAGGAGCAAAAAAAGCCAAGTGTTAACATATCAAGTTTTATTCCCATTAATATAGATAGCATTAGTATGTATTGCTTTTAATTGCTCACGGGTATTGTCTGATTGCTCCAAGATTCTCTATTGCTAATGGAAGATCCTTAATGTCACCAGTGCCTCCATATTCAGGCGGTTTTGGTGTCCATGCTTTACCGAAATCAAGGAGTAAATGCTCGTGAGGTAGTACCACACCAAGTTCATCAGGAGAAACAGGGCCCAATACTACAATAAAGGAGAGAGTGGCATCATAATGAACCTCAGTGTAAATAAATACCCGTTAGAACTTTTCCCTTGAGTTCAGTGGCCATTTATCTTGCAGCATAGAAGAGAGGTGTGGCTCATTACATGCTCACCCTGCCCCTTGGATACCATTGTGATTTGTGTCTTTGTTATATTCCTCCCTCTCCCAGTCTCCCTCTCCCTCTCTATTCTCTATCAGGCTATGAAAAGCTATTTAATTCTTCTACTTATTCTTTTCATAAAGAGTTCCGCTCCTGCAGCACCAGAGAGCGGGATAGTCCGGCTAGAAGAACCGAAGGCGTGGAAGAAGTTCATAAAGACACGTACAAATGTTCTCGTGTTGTTTGCATCTTCTGGCGAGGTGTCAGTACCCCGTGGCCTCCTTCCCATACTTGAAGAAATAGCTCAAGAAGTGAAAGGACTCGGTGCAGTTGCATACGTGGACTGTAGCTCAGCAAAGAAACTCTGCAAGAATCTTAAGATAGGAGGCAAGGGAGAGCAAAAGAAATACTATCTGAAACATTTTAAAGATGGCTCATATCACAAGGACTACGATCGTCTCCTTCGTAAATCCTCTCTACTTGATTTCATGAAAGACCCAACCAGCGACGCCCCATGGTCCGAGGACCCCACTTCTAAAGACGTACGTCACATTGAGAGCAGTACAGGCCTCTACAAGTTTCTCGCTAAAGAGAAGAAACCGATACTTCTTATGTTTTATGCTCCCTGGTGCGGGCACTGTCAGCTTTTGAAACCAGAGTTTGCTGCTGCTGCAACGAGCCTTAAAGGGAAGCAAGTCCTAGCCGGAATGAATCTTGATAAACCAGAAACCATGCTGACACGAGAGGAGTATAATGTCACTGGATTCCCAACTCTCCTTTATTTTGAAGAGGGGAAAGTTAAATACCCATACTCTGGTGGGAGGGACACTGATTCTATCATCAAATGGCTCTCTGATCCTCAGCCTCCTCCCAGTACTCAGGAGGTAGAGCAAGAGGCCGGAGCAAACTGGTCCACCGAATTAAACAACGTCGTTCACCTTACCAGTGAGAATTTCCAATCAGTCATTGACTCTAGCCCCTCAACACTGGTGACGTTTTATGCTCCGTGGTGTGGCCACTGTAAAGCAATGAAGCCGGACTACAATGAAGCTGCTAAGTTGTTAGAAAGTGAAAATATCCTCGGAACACTAGCAGCCGTAGATGCAACAGCAGAAAGAGAGCTGGCGTCACACTATCAAGTGAGTGGATTCCCAACTATAAAATACTTTTCAAACGGTAAGGAACTATATGACTACGGCTACCCAAGGACAACAGAGTCTTTTGTGGAGTTCATGAAAAACCCACAACCACCGCCTGAGAAGGAGAAAGACTGGTCGGAGATAGAGACTGGCGTCCATCATTTAACTGATGAGACATACAAGCCATTCATCAAGAAAACCAAACACGCTCTGGTAATGTTTTATGCACCGTGGTGTGGTCATTGTAAGGCTGCTAAACCAGAGTTCATTGATGCTGCGGCCAGTTTAAAGGAGGACAAAAAGACTTCACTTGCTGCAGTCGATTGCACTAAATATGCTCAAATTTGTGATCAAAATGATGTTCAAGGATATCCCACTATACTGTACATGTCTTATGGTAAGAAGTCATTCAAATACATGGGGCCCAGAGATAGCAATGGGTTTGTCGAGTTCCTCAGGAACCCTAACAAATATGTATCTATAGTCAAAGATGAGTTTTAAATAAGCTCCCAGCTGGAGCTGAAGGAAATATCCAAATATCAAGCAAGAGGGACACATTGTTATTAGTAAAATGTTAATACTATTATTAGTTTTTCAATAGCTATTATAATTAATTTATTATCATTGTTAATAATTAAACAATCATTGATGATAGTCTGCAGTGGTACACTAGTTTAGTTCATGAGCTCAAGAACTATTTCCACAATTTCTTTATTGACATATTCTTCTCCGAATCTTTTTGCATCACCTAATAAAAAGAGAAGAGAAGGCAAAGTAGAATGTACCATAAAGGAAGCTATGGGAGACATTCTACAGTTACCTTAGCCACAGCCATTTCAAAGTCTTCCTGTGTTACATGAACACGTCTCTCCCTCAGAGCATACATGCCAGCCTCAGTGCACACTCCCTATACAAGAACACACTCACATCTCACAGGAGTCTCTCACGAATACCTTAGCTTCTGCTCCAGATGCACCAGGCATCAACTCGGCAATTTTGTGCAAGTTAATTCCACGAGTTAAATTCATTTTACGAGAATGTATCCGCAGGATATCCAATCTAGCCTAAGGAGAGAGAAGGGGAGAGGGGAAAGGTAATATAAGCCAGATTTATCTTTATGACAATACATCTTCATTTGGGGGTGGAAATTCAATCTTCCTATCAATCCTCCCTGGACGGAGTAGAGCTGGATCCAATATGTCTATCCTGTTGGTGGCCATGATCACTTTTATGTTCTGCGTTGGCTCAAACCCGTCTAACTGGTTTAAAAGCTCTAGCATAGTCCTCTGGACTTCACTATCAGCTAGAGAAAAGACAGAGAAGCTAATAAAATATTGTACTGTTAATTTTCGTATACTGCTGCACATAACGAATTAAAATGTAAAAGGTTGAATTTTCACACAACATGTAGCATTAAGGACTGAGAAAAATTTTCCTGCTTATATATAAAGATACACAAATTTCCCAGTACAGTACATGTATGAAATGCTCCCAAATGTGTAATTAAATACGTGTATTGCGTTACAGTTTGATCCAGAGCCAATGCGTGATGATCCAATGGAGTCAATCTCATCCATAAATATAATGGAAGGTGCATGTTCTCGTGCCATAACAAATAACTCTCTCACCATCCTTGAACCTACATGTAATTGAAAATAAAGAATTGGAGTGACTCTAAGGTCCTTACCCTCTCCAATGTATTTCTGAACTAGTTCCGATCCTGATACTCTAATAAAAGTGCACTCTGTGTGGTGAGCCACGGCACGAGCTAATAGTGTCTTACCAGTACCAGGTGGACCATACAACAAGACACCCTTTAATGAGAGAGAGAGAGAGGGGGGGGGGGAGAGAGAGAGAGGAGAGGTGAGATACATGTAGGTGTATCATATGTAGAGAAAATGAAGTGAGAAGAAGAGAAATACTGATAGTACTTAGATTACTTTGGGTTGAGCAATCCCCAGTGAGTCAAATAGCTCTGGATGCTTCACTGGTAATTCAATAACTTCCTTTATTTCTTTTATTTGTTTGTCAAGTCCACCAATCACATCATAAGTGGAATCAGGAACTTTCTCTACCATCATTAAACTGACAAGAGGATCCACCTGCAGTAAAAATGATAACACCTTAAATCCTGTGCAGAGTTTCCCACAGGATTCTGGCAATTAGCAATTATAGTGCTTCTTGTCAGCAATTTGCTTCAAAATCAGGCCAAAGTCCCTGTACTATAGTACAGGGGTTTTGGCCAAATTTCACCAAAAATGACTAGGAGAGAATTCTCAATTTTTATAATGTTTTCTGATACATATACATGTTCTAATGTTGTGTAGCAAGTTTGAGCTGATTCCGATCACATTTGGATTTTTTATGAATTTTTTAAGTTGCTCCAAAACCGGGCCAAAGTCCCTGTACTATAGTACAGGGAATTTGGCCAAATTTCGCCAAAAATGACTAGGAGAGAATTCTCCATTTTTATAATGTTTTCTGATACACATACATGTTTTTATGTTGTGTAGCAAGTTTGAGCTGATTCCGATCACATTTGGATTTTTTATGAATTTTTTAATTTGCTCCAAAACTGAGCCAAAATCCCTGTACTATAGTACAGGGATTTTGGCCAAATTTCGCCAAAAATGACTTTAAAAAAATTCTCCATTTTTATAATTTTTTCTGATACATATACATGTTTTTATGTTGTGTAGAAAATTTGAGCTGAGTCCGATCAAAATTGGATTTTTAATGAATTTTTAAAGTTGTTCAAAAAGCCATGTACATGTACTTATTGTCAACCTTGATCATGTGTCCTAATCTTAGCAAGTTTATTGAGAGATCTCTAGATCAAATTAATGTCATGAAATCAAAGAGAGCCAAATCCCAATACATGAAAAAACAGTATGTAACGTAGACATTATTAAAAGTAGACTTGAAAATAATTCCTCTTTTACTTTTGTGGGCAGAATCTTGTGTAAGCGGTAGCTTTCATTCTTCAAAGCAACACGGCAGTTAGGCTGTACCTAAGAGAGAGAGAGAGAGAAAGAGAATTAACTTACATCAATATTATCATTAATCTTACATCATTCATTTCAATCCCTTTGTCTAAATCAACAACATATTTTCCCTCTGGATGAACCTAAACAACAAAATAAGCAACAAAATAATAAAAAACAATAAAATAAGATACATTAATTAATTATACCTTAACGAGAACTTTCTTCTTATCCATTGCTTTAATAACCTCTCCTACATGTGACCCTTGCTCTTGTAGTAGCTGCAACTCTTCACGTAACAAACGAACTACAAAAAAAAAATTAAAATTAAGCTAATTATTAACACAATACTACCTTTAGCATTCAGCTCATTCCTCTGTGCTTCTAATCTTCTCAAGTTCTGTGATTTCTCTGATAGATTAAGCTACAAAAAAAGATTAAGTACATAATACGTAGTCCTTACTTGTAGCCCTTCTATCTTTGTCACGTAATACTGATGAATACCAGCTCCTCTTTCACCACCAAGAGACTCCATTTTATTATAAACCACGCCCACAATGAACTTTAACCACACCCACATATCAGCTGTATGGTGCACTTCCGTGTATTGTTGGATACCAAAGACATCGTGTTCTCCTGATCGACTCATTCGACTGATTTGTAAAAGAAGGGGCGAGTTGCCTTTCTTTCATAATGTCTTCCAGAAGGTAAATGCTTCATTCATAACCCTCAACGTGTATATCAATTTCATTAGCCCTAGGAGGAGAAATCGCTCAAGAAGTTTCTCTAAGAGCCGCTCCAGAAGCTACTCCAGGTAACCCTCTGATTTAATCCCATCATTAATTTTCCCAATAGGTCCTGGTCTCGCTCTCCTGGTAGAAGAAAGCGCTCATACTCTCGGAGCTACAGCAGGAGTCGCTCTAGGTCACGTGATCGCTATAGAAGGTAACAAAATTTTAAATTGCAAAGTATTTGTGCTAAAGTGGTAATGTTACACAATTGGATGCAATGACGAACAACAATTCTGTTGATAATAATGAAGAATATATTAACTGGTTCTGCTACTGAGTGTCCTATCTGTAACGATATGTATATTAAAGATAATTAATGTTTGCTTTGATGCATTTACTGGCTATTTTATGTCATGTCATTCTTAAATTTTAAAACTCTTTAAGTAATACAAAATAATATTCGATGCTTTCATTTTCTTATTTATTATAAATTGGACAATTTTAAAAGCATGAGCAGCCTCAGCCTTGCACATACATCAGCAAGAATACAGTATTGGCACTATTCAGGACTGATTGCCACAGGAATGTTATCATAAATTGAAGTAGAACCAGTTAGGACTGCCCTAAACTGGAATATGAACTGGTTTTGTAAACTGGAACAAACCGGTTTGTATTATGACAAGCTCTTGTTGTATTAGAACTGCCTGAGCTGTTTTTAGCTATTTTTACCGATTGATTGTTTTTATAATTATGCTATGAGATGCAATGATGATTATTAATAATAATAAATCTTGATTGTTAATGAAGATACATTAACCGGTTCTGCTACTGAGCATCTCTAATACAGTATAAGGGTTTTATTTTGTTGGTATAAAATTTTGTGAATCCTACCTTCTGCAGCCATTTTCCCTAGTGTGCCACACCTCTTTTGTGGAATTTAATTTTGCAAATTTAATAAAAACGCGAAATTTGTGAAATTTTTTTTCAGTGAATATAGCCCCTACACTGTATCCCAATTTATGATTATTATTACTCTGCTCTTGGCTGTTGGATGCCAACACGCTGCCAATTCTCCCACTTTTATCTTTTGTGTTATTTTAATTTCAGTCGCTCTCGGTCTCCCTATCGAAGAAGAAGTTACAGTCCTTATGGGCGGAGACGGCGAAGTTACACTCCGCCTCCTCACCGTCGTCACTACCGCGGTCGCTCAGGAAGCAACTCTCCAATGTCCTCCAGACGTCGCCATGTTGGCAACAGAGTAAGCCAGGCTGGTAGTGGGTGGAGAGTAATTCCTCTCTTATTCTCGATCCCTTAGTTTAATCCGGAGCGTAATAATGTGATTGGTGTGTTTGGCCTAAGTTTATACACCAATGATAAAGATTTGAGAGACATATTTGAAAAATATGGTAAAATTAACGAAGTCCAAGTGGTCTATGATCATCAGGTAACGCTAATAATGATAAATGAATAAATCAAGCTACATTTTAAAACCAGTGTCTGTGATTACATATTGCTCATGCACCACTATATGACATTATCAATGGTTGATTTATGAGTTCCAATCATTATATGAGACACTTATTAGTACACAAGTGTTGTTGCAACATCTTGTAATTGTTATTTATTGTTGTTGTCTATTGTTAGACTAACAGATCAAGAGGTTTCGCTTTCGTTTATTACAATGACGTTGAGGATGCAGTTGAGGTATGTAGTACGTACATCACAATAAAAAAATCAGCTCCTAATTGATAATTATGTTACTTTTTATTCCTTCAGGCAAAGGAGAGTTGCAATGGTATAGAGATTGATGGTAGAAAGATACGCGTGGATTACTCCATCACTAAAAGACCTCACACCCCTACACCTGGCGTGTATATGGGAAAACCCACACACAAGTCTGTCATTCCTTTCATATGAATATAAGCATTTGTATTCATGTTGCATTAGGTCGAGCAGGCGGAGCAGTGAAAGAGACAGATACGATGATTATGATGATTACGATAACAAACGTTAGTGACAGAAATGGGACTCTCTTTTATTTTCTTATTTCTAGGTGGTCGTTACTAGTAAGTTATTGATTGATAAATTGTTGCTCTTGTCTTACAAGAAGACTCTAATAAGTAGTTAAATATAATTATTGATGAATTTGTTTGCATTTAAACTGTTAGTGTAGCTATGACTCTCTTTTTGTTTACCATATTTGGTGTCTTGTTTTGTGCGACTTTTAAAAGTTTCTCCATCTTTATTATGTAGAAATAGAAAATGTTGAGAAGTAGAGTATGTCTTGAAGTCAAGTGTATGGGTGAAGAATGAAGGGAGAAAAAAAGAAAAATGTAGAAAAAATGAAGAAAAAGAATTTTGTGCCAATGGGGTTGAAGATACAAAAAATCAAGAAAAAAAGAAAATTTTTTGTTCAATAGGAACAATTGGGGGTTGAAGATAGAAAATGAAGAAAATTATAGGACTTTTGAAATTAATTTTAAGCCAAAGTGATAAGGGACTAAAACATGACAGGTAAAAGCCACAAATCCTATAATTGAAGCTAAAGGACAAATGATGGTACAAGTACTTGCTAAAGATGGAAGTTTGGAAAGAAGAGACAATTTTTACTCTATCATGTTGTGAAGCTAAAAACAATTAACACTGCCATTCATAACAAAACAGTTAATAATAATAATACTAGTTAACTTTAATAATAAGAGATAAATTACAACATAATATCATTATTTTAGTAAATAACCTAATGCAAGCTAATGTGTATATATGTTAATGTTCCTAATCTTTAGCTAAACCTTCAGCTTTCTTGATGACCTCTTCAATAGGGCCAACCATGTAGAATGCTATCTCTGGAAGATGGTCATATTCTCCTGCAAAAAAAGCATTTACGTGTAAAAACTGCATCGTTTTAATGTAAAAATAGAAATGCAGATTGAACATTAGTGTGGTACCCAGAAGTTCTTTTGACAATAATTCTAACCTGCTAATATTTCTTTAAAACCTTTTAAGGTGTCCTAAATTTACACAATAAATATTAAGGATAGACTACAAGGACATACTTCTAATGGAACTAGTTTTCCTTCTTTGCCTGTGAAGACCTCAGCCATCTGGAAAGGCTGAGACAAGAACCTTTGGATCTTCCTAGCACGTGCCACTGTTAGCTTGTCATCTTCTGACAATTCATCCATACCCAAAATAGCAATGATATCTTGAAGAGACTTGTAATCCTGCAAGAGAGAGAGAGAGAATTAAGTTTGTAAACTAATTAATAACGATATACCTGAAGTATCTTCTGGACACCTCTAGCAATCCTATAGTGCTCTTCCCCAACAATATTGGGGTCCATGATCCTGGAGTTGGAGTCCAGTGGATCCACTGCTGGGTATATACCAAGCTCAGAGATAGCTCTGGACAGCACAGTGTTGGCATCCAAATGAGCAAATGTTGTAGCTGGAGCAGGATCAGTTAAATCATCAGCAGGTACATATATAGCCTGTGGAAGAAGATGGTGATACTTTTAAACTGATTGCTCTGAAAATGGCTCAGAGAGAATAATACGCTTTGTGATACGTATTGGTGCATGTGTTGTGTACAAGGATTGACTTGCCTGTACTGAAGTGATGGATCCTTTCTTAGTCGTTGTGATCCTTTCCTGCATAGTACCCATATCAGTAGCCAGTGTGGGCTGGTAACCAACAGCTGACGGTATACGACCTAACAAAGCTGATACCTACAATGAGAAAAGGATAGAGTCACCAAAACAAAATAAATAAATAATCATGCAATACAGTGGTGAATCAGTCAATGAATGAAGTACATCATTATTATTCAGATGAAACACGGATATGTATTCACATCACATTCACCATACACATACACACAGAGTAAATGTCAGTATAATATATATACATGTACATATATTATACACTCAATATACACTCGGCATTGCTTACTTCTGATCCAGCTTGAGTAAATCTGAAGATATTATCAATGAAGAGCAACACGTCTTGTCCCTCCTGATCTCTGAAGTACTCAGCAACAGTTAGACCAGTCAGAGCAACACGAGCTCTTGCACCTAATCAATGACAAATAAGCATGTGACAGTCATGTGATAGGATTACCTGGGGGCTCGTTCATTTGACCATAAACCAATGCCACCTGTAAGAATAAAGGTAATAAATAAACAAAACAAAAAAATTATAAATTGAGTGTATCATTCCTTCAGTTCACTTCAATCAGTAATGATTTGTACTGCTGAAGGCGACAGGTTGACTTTACTATTGCACCAAGTTAGAAGCTAACTCTCCATCAATATATGAGAGTCAGCCAGTGAAAACTTGTGCAAATACTTAATCCCTCCCTTTCTCTCTCGCTCTACCTTGGATGAATCATCCTTAAGACTGATGACACCAGTAGTTATCATCTCATGGTACAAGTCGTTTCCTTCACGAGTTCTCTCTCCTACTCCAGCAAAGACCGAGTAACCGCCGTGAGCCTTAGCAACATTGTTAATGAGCTCCATGATGAGTACTGTCTTCCCAACACCAGCACCACCAAATAAACCTGGGAGGAAGAGAGAGGAGAAAAAGGAGAGGACATAAATATATGCAAAGCTTGTAGATATGTAGACATGTACATGTCTGTGTTCATTACAAGCAGAGCTCAGAGTGTGATAATTTAACTTCAAAATAAAATCAGAGACTCTAGTCAAATGTCATCACTGCTTTGCTTCTACTATTAATTTTATGTGCTTTTATATACATTCTCTGCTTTTCTCTCTTTATTTCTTACCAATCTTTCCTCCCTTGGTATATGGTGCAAGCAAATCGACGACTTTAATACCAGTGACAAGAATCTCTTGATCAGTACTCATGTCAACAAAATCAGGAGCTTCAGCGTGAATATTAGCATATCTAAACAAACAAAATAATAATAAAAATTAAAAGATTCCTCTTTTAAACTACCACCCACGGTTTGATTAAACTTACACGTCAGACCCAATGTCTCCTCTCTCGTCTATCGGTTCTCCAATGACGTTCATGATACGACCCAGGGTCTTAGGACCAACTGGTACTCTTATTGCAGTCCCAGTATCCAGACACCCTTGACCACGGATCAGACCCTCGGTACCGTCCATAGCCACCGTACGCACCACATTCTCACCTGCAGAAATGAACGGGCATTAATTGGAAGTACAATAATGAAGAGGTAAATGGGCATTAATTAGAAAGGAGTTCAGCCAGCCAAGGGATTGTCATCAATATTATATCAGAGACTCTAGTCAGTATGTGTCATCATTACTCCTTTAACAAAGGGGTGAGTGTCTATAACAAGCCCCACCCACCATTATTTGTTATTATTATTATTTTATTATTATACGTACAGTTTACTAAACATACCAAGATGCTGTGCTACTTCTAGAATGAGTCTCGGCGAACGATTCTCCACCTCCAATGCATTCAGAATGGGTGGCAAACCCTCTTCGAATTGAACATCTACCACTGCTCCAATGACAGCAACAATCTTTCCTTTTGCACCAGTTTTGGTGGCTGTGGCCGCTGGAGTAGCACTGTATCTCCTATGGACTATAATGGGAGGAGACACAAAACATTTAAAAATAGCTATTGTGTGTTGCTGATCTTCCTTTACATTGTGATAGTGAAGGAGCGGCGGTTCTGACGGGAAGTATTCTCGGCTTACTCCATGCTCTAGCAATGCTAGGAGCTCTTATGGCAGAGAACAAACCACGCAAAGCAGCCGCCATTTTGTTCTCCTCGAGACGTGTCCCTGAAATGGATTTTGTGCGCATGCGCAAAATGTGCTCTAAGCCACGCCCAAACATGCCATGAGCCCTGCCCACTTTATGCAGAAGCTAGGAGCCTAGGAGCCTGCAAAGCCTGAATGCAAGCATTGCTGCAATGATGCAAACTCCAATCCATAAAGCTAGCCATTTTTGTTTACATGCTCATTTTACTTAAATTACAGAAACAATTCCAGAGCTTTGTTGCTACCAGCTGAACTACTATGATATAAAATTGTGATGGAAGGTGTCAGAATGACGAGAACTATGAATATCCAGTGAGGAAATGAGCATGCGCACTGAGTGAGACGCGGGTATTGTGGACTGTGGAGGCTGAGAGCTCTCTGAGTCTCTTTCTCTCTTTCTCTCTTTCTAGGTTTCTCTTTCTAGGTCACAAGTTCTTGGCTTGACAGGTTGGTCGCTCTCTTCTGAGTATCATCTGTAACGCCACGTCAATCACAGCTGAAGATGACTACTCAGACAACTAAAGTTGGTATGTTAGAATCTGTGTATAATGTAATGTAGTGCTGATATTATTTCTATTTATGTATTTTTAAAAGGTGTGATTCACAGTGCATTTTGTGGGTTGTAATTATTGGTTTACGGGTGTGGCTCATCCTTTATTTATTTATCCATCAGATGATGCTCCAGTTCACACAAGGAGTCGTCGGAGGCTCAATTTTGGCGAGTCTCAGCGCTTCAAGGGAAAGACTTTCTTCCTGGATCTTGATAGGTACCCACGGAAAAAGGAAATAGAGAAAGAGCTGATCAGCAGAGGAGCCGTAAGTCTTATCTCTTTTGTATATGAGAGGCTGAAATTGATCACAGTTTGTGTGTTAGAGGGAAGAGGAGGAGGAGGAGGAGGAATAAAACCGACATGATACCCAATTTTATTATTATTATTGTTTATTATTATTGTTATTGTTTATTATTATGAGAAGGTGAGATGCACAAATGATCAGGAAAGGAGAGAAGAGGATAAGAGAAGGGAGAGAGGGAGGGAGAGGAGGAGGAGGACAGTTATTATAAGCACCTGAAGGAGGAGGGATAGGGAACCTGGTAGACAAGCCATGGAGCCACTGAAAAATATTATAAATTATGAATGACTGAATTGATGATTGATGATTCTGTTATTATCTTTTTTAAAGACGGTTGAGGGTTTTCTGGATTCCAGTGTCAGATACTTTGTGACTAATAAGCCAAAAGCTGTCATAGAGAAAGCCACTAGTGCGATGACACCATCAGGGCAAAGCCCTCAGACTCCATCTACAGGGTAAGAGGATAAAGGAATGATAAATGTCTATACACTATTGATGTATTAACACATCTGTCTTTTGTTTTCTTTTTCTACATTGTGTGTTTCTTTTATGTCTTTCCAGTGGGTTTTCACAGCTAATGTCACCATATAGTAATCAGTCTTCTAGCAGTACTGATAAAAGAGCAGTAAAGCCTCGCTATGTAAGAGCTATAGCCATTCGTCAACCTAGCTTACTCTCTCTCTCTTAATACTTAATTCCTTAGAACACAAGGGCTCAAAAGATACTACAGAAAGCTTTGGAGAACAACAGCACAGGGTCTGTGCCTGTGAATGCAAATGACAAGCCTGATAAAGTCCTGACCTTGGCTACCAGCTGGAAATGCAAGATATTGCATATAGACAGTAAGTGTGAAGCATTCTCTCTCTTTTCAATATTCATTTCGTTTATGCAGCTGTTGAAAGAGAATTGAAGAAGCTGAGGCCAGTGACAGATGGTAGTGCCATTCAAAAGACAGTTGACAAGGCAACTGGTAAGAAACTTAATAATTATAATGTTGCAACTCTCACTGATAGATCCAGGGCTTCCCACAAAGCATTAGAGTGTTATGTGAGGCACTGTCAAGCACTGCGCCATAGTGCATGGCTTTTGGAGTAACTTTAAAAATTTATGAAAAATATTAGATTTGATCGGAATCAGCTCAAACTTGCTACGCAACATAAAAACATGTATATGTATCAGATAACATTATAAAAATGGAGAATCCTCACTTTTCATTTTTGGCAAAATTTGGCCAAAGACCCTGTACTATAGTACAGGGGTTTTGGCTTGATTTTTGAGCACCTTTAAAAATTTATTTAAAAATTCAAATTTGATCAAAATCAGCTCAAACTTGCTATGCGACATAAGAACATGTACTGTATATGTATCAGGAGAAATTATAAAAATTAAGAATTCTCTCCTAGTCATTTTTGGCAAAATTTGGCCTAGATTGATCTCCCAAAATTTATTTCTAGATGTGTACATGTACATGTATAACACTCACAATTTTTATATCTTTAGTGAGGAAGCTACGTCGACCTTTCTTTAAATTTGAAGACCTTTCTCATAACTATCGTCCTGTCATATACGAGCCTTCTACCTGGCCAGTCATTAATGAGAACTGTCCACCCGAAGCATCTCCTTTTGATCCTCCAAGACCTTCCCCTCCTCTCCTTTCTGCTCCACCTAATAGCTCCAAGCGGACCAACCATCGCAAGGAAGCTAACACACCAGCCGGTAATGACAGGAGGTTAGGATACTGCGAGCCATGTGGCGTACGGTTTGAAGACATGGAGAAAGTTAGTACAATCTGCATGCATAGAGATTGTTTTTTTATTCTTGTCTTTAGCATTTGAGAAGCGCACAGCACCAGGAATATGCTAGCAATCCAAAGAACTTTGAAGAACTTGATAAACTGATATCTGAATGCTCTGACTTGAATGATTTTCTGGCAAAGGTCCTGAAGCAGCGGACCAATTCAGGGAAATCAAAATCAGCAAGGTACATGTACATGTATGCAAAAGAGAGAGAAAGAGAGTATTAGGTGCATGAATGACGGTATATTACACAGTTGCTTATTATCCCTCCCTCCCTCCGTTCCTCAGTCCTATCAAGCAGGTGTCACAAGTTGAAAGGATATCTCTTGTGTCTCTTCCTTCAATGGGACACAAGAGTGGTTTGGTTGTTCTTTCTGATTGCCCAGTGGCCTACCACTCTCCCCAGCTCTCTCCTGGTGTCTGCACTAGACAAATGAAGAAGAAGCTCATCGACTCTTCACCCAGTCTCACCCCTAGGAGTAAGAGATCCAGAACTTTTTAGAACTAGTTTTTTTGCATTTTTAAAAGTTCTTTGTGTTATCATATTTTATTCCATTTATTGTATGTGCTCATGCAGTTAATTTATTAATTAATAATAATAATGATTATTATTATTGATTTTAATTTTGATGAAATTGGGGGTGCGGCTTTACCCACGTGTCCCCAAGGCTGATAATGGTTGAATTGAGAGAGGGTTTTGTGATTAGTGAGAGCAAGTGCTTGGGCGTATCTCCTGGCAGAGACGAATTTGAAATAATTTGTTCTTTTTGTAATGGATTGATTGCCATTTATAACGTGAGAACTACGAAGCATGATTTAATTAATCTTTTCTCACCCTCTCTCTCTCTCTCTAGCTTAATAATCAGAGATTCACGAAGAATTGGAAACTAAGCCTCGCAGAGAAATTAACAACACCAGCTGTCTATGATAAAAAAGAAAGTAGTTATGTTGCAATTAAAAATGACAGAGTAAGATTGATAATAATAATAATAATGACGATAATAATAATAGGAGATTATTGTATGGAAGCATGAGACAGAGTGGGTATCAGATTTTGTCGTTAACGAGGTACATGTTCATGATATTAATTAAATTTTTAATTTGTTATTTTAATGCAGCTCTGCTTTGAAATTCATTCTCTACTATCCACTCCCACTTCCTGTGTGATTGTGTACCGTAATGGAAGTATCAGTACGGAAATTTTGAATCCTAAGAAATTAGAATTTAACAGTAGACATTTGAAGTAAAAGGACAATAGATTGAATGTCGTTATGAATCTTTCCCTCTTTCTTTCTGTCTTTTTCCTTAGTGTTTATAAGGCTCTCTATTCTTCATCTTGTGATTGCTTATTATTAATATATGCTATATCTAGTTCTTTATACCAATATTTGCTCTACCAGTATAGTTCTACTGATGACAAACTAAAGGAGATAATGACCAATGAAATAAAAACAGAAGATAATGTAAGTAATGACGTACTCATAGTTATGTTTATGGTAATAAAGTTGTGGTATGGCCTGATGATTCATTGTTACATTTAACTATAGGGATTTGGTGAATTGGTTGCTGTGGAGATACTGGGGAACATCCTACTGATGTCATGTTAGTTGAATTAATTACATTTAACGTACTTTGTACTTTTGTTTCCTCTCTTCCTCACTCTCTCTCTATTTGTCCCTCAGGGTCTAAAGGGATTGTATCGTGTACTGACCTAAAGTCTGATCTTTCTTCAATGACAGTCTTACTCTCTCCCTCCTCCTCTCTCCCCTCCCTTTTGACGACCATCAATGATGATTATTTTGCTCTTCTCACTTCAACTGGTGAACTAAAAGTATACAGTGCCCGATACGGTACACTTCAGTGCACTTCTGGATACTCTCAGGACACCTCAGTAGACTCTCAGGATATGCAATGGGTACAGGATTCGTTGTGTGTATTTCATATCTTTGTCTTAGTTGTCTTTTTGTCGTGGTTACTTGTTTGTGAGTAGTTCAAAGGGTCTCACTGGTTACCCTCTTGTCATTGCTGGCCCTCTCTCTCTTGCGATGGCCATTGGAAGAAAAGAGAAACGAAAACTCATTAATTACGAGGTAACAGATGGAAATAATATTTAATATTTTTTATTTTTATTTACTAGTGGAGCGATGACATTAATCCTTCACCAAACAAGGTCTGTTGTTATTAATATTTTATTAATTATAATTATAATTATAATTATTTAGGACATACCTAATTTACGTAAAATGTTAAAGAAAGGATCCCGTCATATCCAGTCTTGGTCCTCTGACATTACAATACTCTCATGTCTCACGCTTTTAGTGAGTGAGCTCTTGTCAGAGGAGGTGTGGTCTAAGAAAGAGCTGATCCTGATTGTGGAGGCTGGGATTTTCCCTGTAAAGTGAGTTTTTGAGAGCCAACAATATTTATTATTATTAATTTTATTACTTTTGTATTCAAGTTTGGTGTCTTCGTTGATCCAGCGCTCTTTACAAGAAAAGGATTGGGTAATTGGTTTTTTGTTAGTTTTTTAATCTCCCCCTTCCCCCCCCCTCTCTCTCTCTTTCAGTCATTACTAGTTTCAATTATGAAGCATGTTGAAGTATTCCCTGAGCAGTCACTGGTTGATCTACTGATTGCAATTCTGGAGTGAGTGCTTCCATGATGGCTTCATTATGCTTCCATAGCTCCCAATTTTTATTTAAATTTCTGATGTATACTGTTGTTCTTGACACATTTCTATGATGAATATTTTTTTTTTAGTTTGGATTGTGACACTGTTAGTTTATCAAAGAAGTCCTCTATAGAAAAAACCGAACTATTGTGGGTTTTATAATAATTATTATTAATACTCATTATTAATGATAATGTTTTTTTTATTGTGAAACCTCTTCTCTGCCTGTGTACTCCAGATCTCTCGCCCTCTCCCTCCTCAAGAACCATGAGCTCATGCAGCAACCGCTCACACATTTATCACACAATCACATCTTGGTAAGCTCTTTTTGATCTGTCCTCACACCCCCCTTTCTCCTTCTCTCTCTTAGATATTATTGAAATTTTTAAAAGAAAGACTCGATACTCCTCTCCTTCCTAACATAAGCACTTCTACTGCTAGTTCACCTTCCCCTATTCCTTCTCTCTCTTATTCTGATGCTGTTGATTGGCTAGGACTTCTAATAGACACACACTTCACTAGTTTAATGCTGGAGCTAGCTGATATCCAGCCACTCCTGGTTGACCTGAGGGTTTGCCTGGGACGCCATGTGACGTTCATGGCCAGATTAGATCTCCTTGGGGAGCTAGAGTGTGTGAAGGACATTGTGTCTGCTGGGAATCAAAAGAAGTCATGGAACGTTAAAATTGATAGAATAAAAGTTGACATTTAATGATTTATTATTATTATTATTATTATTATTTATTATTATTTTGTAAATAGCGGATTTGTTAATTTGTAATTGTTTTATTTTCTTTATAGATTTCCATGCACATGTATGCTAGCCTTTTTAACTTTGTCTTTCCCTCCCCTTTTCTTTTTTTCCTCCGTCTCTTTGAAAAGGTTCAATTTTCTTTGCAGTAGGAGGCTATTTCTTGGATTAGCCATGTCCCCTGGCAGTGAAGGTGAGCTGTGAAGGAGTATTCTCTCCATCGTAGGCCTCCGGTCCAATGCTCTCTGTGTCACAAAGTCACTTTTAGTGGCTATAATAGAGAAGAATTAAAGGAATAAATACTGTATATTGCTGGTTTGTTTTTGACATACTAGGAACACTAGCTCTGCTGTGCTTCCAGCCGCTACCAATAGCAGGCCCACCTCTCTTTTCTAAGCTAATGGTATTAATAATAATTGTTGATGATTAATTATGTCATTTTTGTTAATAGATTTTCTTACCTCAGTGATGGGAGACCAACTTTCTCAATATAATTCCATTCATCTAAGAACTGTCTTGAGACTGTGACATACTTAATATACTTACTAAATATGCCAAATAACTCTGGCTCGGTTCTGAACCTGCTCCTGATCAGTCTTGATGCCATTGGTTGATATGTGTAATACCCTAATGCAGTGCTGGCTACTTCCTCAAGGGGAGGGTTTCTGCTTAGCAGTGTATCAATGAGAGGTGTTATAGCACCAGCCATTACTGCAGTTATGGGGATTCCTTCTTTGCATCTTGCAAGACAAGCAAGGAAGTTACATGAGTCCAGTTTTGTTCTTTCTTCCTGTGATGCAGCTAATTGAACCAGGAGTTTGATACCGTGTATGCTCCCCTCAGCTGGGTCCACTCCCACCAATAGTTTTGATAATATTATTAGTTGAAATGCTCCGTGAGCTCGGTGGACCTCATCAGGCGATGTCAGCAAACTTAGAAAATTTGATACGTTGAGTCTCCCATGAGCCTCAACCATCTGAAGCTTCTTTGGACTATTGAAAACAAATATAGAGAGAGCTTCTCCTGCTAGGAGCCGCACCAGCAGATCAGTAGATGACAAGAGCTTGAGGAGAGAGTAATGAGAGAAACTGTCTTGCTGCATTAGCTTTGATTCATTTTCTGGATTGTTAAGTATCAGTTTTGATAGAGTGCATGCTGCCTTCACTCTCAATAGCTCTGATAATGGGGACACGACTAGCGCCGTCAATACAGTTAAACCTCTTGTCTCTGCTATTGCTTTCTGTAGTGATGTGCTTGGTACCAGACCTGGTTTAGTTAGCAGGAGCCCAAGAGTGTGCAATACACTTATGTAGACTTCTTCAGAAGTCTGAGAGAGGAGTATCTCAACTAATGGCAGTATGCCTCCTAAATCAACCACTTTGCTTTGATTTGATCCTAACTCAGTAGCCAAGGTTCCCAATGCTTCAGAGCACACATAATACAACTTATCATTGGGCGTTGTCATTAGATCAACTACTGTATCAATCCCCATGAAATTTGCTACTAGGCGCCTGTTCTTTATCTGAGAGCCTGCTATAGCCCAAAGAGCAGAGCCACTGCAAACCTTTACCTCTGAGTTACGGACTTTTAATAAACGACGAAGCAGTATGAGAGAGTTCTCATCTTGGAGTACAGCTTGGGCTTGTGGACAGTTTTTGGCAAGGGACTCTATTGCTCGAGCTGCATTAGTATGAACTGAGTGAGCTTTGGATTTGAGGAGCAGCACAACTGGGTCTACAATTCCTGAATTAAGAGCTCTTAGTTGACTTTCAGGGCAATCTTTTATTAATACCTATAAAATAATAGACAAATCACAGAGTATAAAACATAAAAAGTGAGTCTAATAGATCATTGCTGGTGAGCTGGGTATAGCCTTGGGTATTTTTCAGAATTTTTGGCATTTTTTTTTAAATGGCCGTAACTTAAAAAATTGAAGTCGGAATCAGCTTAAACTTTCTACTCAGCATAAAGACATCAATATGTATCAGAAAATGTAATAAAAATTTGGGGTGATTTTGGAGCCAATTTTTGAAAAAAACCATGGGCTATAGCCTTGGGTATTTTTCAGAATTTTTGGCATTTTCTTAAAATGGCCGTAACTTAAAAAATTGAAGTCGGGATCAGCTTAAACTTTCTACATAGCATAAGGACAATAATATGTATCAGAAAATGTAATAAAAATTGGGGGTGATTTCGGAACCATTTTTTTGGAAAAAACCATGGGCTATAGTACAGGGAAATTTTTGAAAATTGGCCCATTTTTAAAAATGGCCATAATTTAAAAATTTTTTATTAGAATTGACTCAAACTTTTTACACAACTTAAGTACATCAATATGTATCAGAAAATGTAATAAAAATTGAAGGTGATTTTGGAGCCATTTTTTGGAAAAAACCATGGGCTATAGCCTTGGGTATTTTCAGAATCTTGGCATTTTTTGAAATGGCTGTAACTTAAAAAATTGAAGTCGGGATCAGCTTAAACTTTCTACACAGCATAAGGACATTAATATGTATCAGAAAATGTAATAAAAATTGGGGGTGATTTCGGAGCCAATTTTTGAAAAAAATGTACTTATGTTCATAAAAAGTTGGGAGTTGATTTCAATCAAAATTGAATTTTTAAAACAAATTTTTAAAGTTGCTCAAAAACCCATGTACCTCATGCAGCATCACTTAGCATGCTTTGCAAAAATTCCTGGTAAATAATAATAATTTTCCACCTCACCTCTAAACTAGCCGCAGCACAGCCTTGAGTGCACATAAGGGGAGAACTCAATAAATCAATCATTGGCTCTAGTCCTCCATTCTCCCTCACTGCTCTCTGTATCTTGGGGTTATCCATTGCCGTGTTAGCAAGACACGAAGCAGCATACATCTGTACATCATCATGCGGAGAGTAGAGCATAGCAATTAGGTGAGGGAGTCCTTCGGATATTGCTTCTTGATTCTCCGGATCCATTGCCAAGTCATTGAGTGCAATACAAGCACAGGATTGGAGTCTGTCGTTACTAGATGACAAATGCTTTACAAGGTTGGGTATGGATGGTGCTAGGGTTTCTCGCATTATTTTATCGTGCGATATATCAGCTAGTACTTGGATTGAGAGATACTGTAGTCTCTCGTCTTGTGATTTAGCCAGCTCCATCAGTTGCTTGATAGCCCCAGTATCGTATAGAGCCTGATAGCAAGAAGGCTTAGCTCTCATGAGACTGTCCAATGCGCATGCAGAAACATGAGGTAACCCACTAGCAATGTCTTCTTTTAGCATCCCTGCAAGACTCTCCCACAGTGGTAATTGTGGACTGTTGAGCTCCACTAGATACAACAGTATATTGCAGTGATGCTTGCTGGCTGCCTTGTGAATAATATTGTGTCCCAAGCGATTCATTGCTGAAATGTTTGCTCCAAAGTGAAGGAGGATTTTGACAGAGTCTATTCCACCGTTCTCCGCAGCCAAAAGAAGAGGAGTGTTCCCATCACTCTCTGCAATGAGATTCACGCAGTCATTGTCAAGAAAAGCAAAGTGTCTTATGATTACAGAGTAATTATGGAAAGCAGCATGATGGATTGGTGACCATCCTTTGTCATCTGCGGCTGATAATTGAGCTCCATGCTGAAGGAGGCAGCACACAGTGTCCAGGTCACCAGATTGAGCAGCTAAATGGATTGGTAGTGTGGAAGTACCGGGACAAGGCTGATGAGGGTCAGCTTGATAGTGTATTAATAAAGAAACAGCTTCAGACTGGCCGTGAGATGCAGCAAAATGAAGCAAAGATAAACCATCTTCATCTGGCTTGCATAGTCGTGTCTTTGTCGTCCTTTTTAAGAGGACAGAGAGAGGGCCGGTCAAATTTTTCTCAATGCACGGGCGAAGCAGAGAATGAATAGTTTTTAGTTTTGAGGCGTGTCTAAGACCGAGAGGTCGTCTGAGAAAGTCCTGTATTCTAGCATCAGAAATAGGAGGGAGTTTGATTACTTGTGACTTTAGTTCTTGGACCATTGCATGAATCCAACGAGGGAATTTTGGATAATAGTCGTCCAGTTTTATCACTACCAATGTATATGATGTACCATCCACTGTGATTGTGGTTGCTTCTCTTGGATGGTTCAAAGCTTTCGTTAAGATCTCTTCCTTTGCCTGTCTCAGCTCAGGCTTAAGAGCTACAACTGGTACTTGTCCTTTGTGGAATGCAATTTTTCCGTGAGCACTAGTGTAGTGATGGTCAGAAATGTGAGGGGACCAGCGAGATGAGGGAGTAGGGAGGAAAGGAGGCACCTCCCTATCAGTATTGAGTGTATCTGGATTCATTGGTGGCTGGAGGGATTGGCAGTTGATGGTTTTGTGTGTCTGTCTCAATGTAGCCAGCAGTACAATGATAAAAGAGACAAACTGCAATAGTTCAACTACATGAGCAATGGAGGATTTCTTTAATAAGTTCTCTTGTACAAAGGAGGATTGCTTTTGAAGATAAGCGTGCAAGTGTGGCAGTACATCTTCTTCTCCTTTCTTCAAGTTGCTAACTGTCACACAAGGAAACACAGTCACCAGAGGATCCAGAAATATCAAACTCCCATCTTGCTGGACTGGCCCTTGGCCCAGCATTAGACCAAGACTAACTTGATCAAGATAACGCAAGAACACATCACGGCTGACATGAGCATTGTGGACAGCCTGATCCTCTCCTGAGCTAAGTCTTGGAGTAAGTCCAGCTGCAGAGAGAGTATGGTCAACCAACCGAGCTGGGAATCGATGATGAACTTCACTTCTTTCGTGATACAACTCAGAGCCTAACTCTGGATCATCCTCCATTGATATTAGCCCATACTCTTTGTATAGCTCTGGTAGCTTGGTTGGCGACTCTGAAACAACTTTTCTCCATTTTTCTATGATTCTTGCCCTCTTTTCTCTCAGCGGGACGGTGCTACCGTGCAGCAGTGACTTGATGAAATAGTCCATCGAAAAGAGCGTTTGCCCGAGGAATGTGTCCACGTATGCAGAGGGAAGGGATGTTGCCATACTACCATCATGATTGCCATCTAGAGCAATAGAGGGAGTTTGCTGGAATATGTATAGACCAGTGACCAGTTCTCGTACCAGTTGGTGTAGCTCGTTTGAAGTGTGCTTGCAACTAGCAGATGAATGAGGGAAAGCAATGACATAATGACCTTCAGTGTTATCTGGTGGAGCAAGACCTGAGGAAGAGGAAAAAGCTCATTATTACTTATATAAAGCTTCTTTACTCATTAGCTGCTACCTTTTAGCCATGTTGCTTCTCCAGGTTCCTCTTTCTTGCCAGAAAGAAACCAGTCAGAGTCTATCAATGCTCCGGCATGATAAAACAGATTTTTGTCCATCTTCTCAAAGTACTGGGTCGCCTGTTTGCTGGCAAGGAAGACTTCCTCGGCCACTTTGCTCCCCATCTTCTTCCTGGATAGATTTCAATATGCGCAAACGGGTCGCTCAGTTTCCAATAGTTACCACTATAAACGCCCACGCAACAGCCCCACCTCGCAGCATGGCTGTAGTCTGGCTAAAGAACCTTCAAACGATAGTGAAGCTAAACGAGTCACTGCTGATGACACAGGCTCAATTCTTATTGGCAACTGCAGTGAGAGGGACGGTGGGGAGAGGGAGAGAGGTCCCACGGTTTGGTATGAGCCTCGTGTGCGTTCCTTCTGATGAAATACAAGACATTAACAGGAGGTATAGGAAACTTGATGAGCCAACAGATGTACTCTCATTCCCCTATCACGAGGTAAATTATATTTTATAATGCATATAACAATACTAGTGAGACATCCTCTTATATAGAACTTATCTCCAGGCCAATTCCCAGTAATTAATTCGATTGACGATTACAATTTAGGTGACATTATTCTGGGATTGCCCTACATTGAAGATTATTGCGTTAAAAATAAAATAAAATTACACGAGCACCTACCTGTAAGAAAAGGTTCTTTATTATTATGATACTCTCTCACGTACAGGTAGTGGTAACACATGGTATATGTCACCTGCTTGGTTATACTCACGACACACCAACCAAACATCAACAGGTAATGGTGACATACTCACGAAGCCATTCAAGTTATACATTAATATTGCTAATTTTATTGATCTATTATTATCATTCTTTATTAGATGTATTCAAGAGAAAAGGCAACCTTAACATGTTACAATAATTCCTTTGGAACAAACATTATCCCTTTATCAAACTAATAATTATTATTAGCGATAAACCAAAAGAAGAAAAAAACAGTAATAATAGAACAATGTCAGTCAATCAACACGAAATGTCTATAAAATATAAGTACATCAATATAAGAGTATTTGTATAGTGAATGATGGGGGCTGATGTTAAAGAGGAACATGAGAGAAAAGGTACGAGACAGATTCACAATTGTGTGTACGTCTGATGGCTTCACCCAGTATATTACTAACATCAATCTCCTATAAAGAGAGAAGGGATTAGAAAATTTAACTTTTAAAAATTTGTAAAAAATCTAATTTTGATTGGAATCAACTCAAACTTGATACACAACATAAAAACATGTATATGTATCAGAAAATATTATAAAAATGGAGAATTCTCTTCTAGTCATTTTTGGTGAAATTTGGCCAAAGTCCCTGTACTATAGTACAGGGACTTTGGCCCAATTTTGGAGTAACTTTAAAAATTTGTAAAAAATCTAGTTTTGATCGGAATTAGCTCAAACTTGGTACACAATATAAAAACATGTATATGTATCAGAAAATATTATAAAAATGGAGAATTCTCTCCTAGTCATTTTTGGTGAAATTTAGCCAAAGTCCCTGCACTATAGTACAGGGACTTTGGCCCGATTTTTGAGTAACTTTAATTTTGATTGGAATCCTATGCAAGTCTGTTCTGTATTAAACTGATCCCATCCTGCATTTGATTAATAAAACCACCGACTTACTTTAATTTTAGAACACAATTCCATCTTTTCTTGCAGTGGTATCGTATTACTGGATACCACACACTCAAGGTCTGACTCTTGAATCCTCTCAATCGCTGGCCCCGATAGTATACCATGAGTTATAATAGCATAAACCCTTTTTGCACCAGCTTCTTTCAACCTGTAACGGGTGGGGTTACAATGCCGTGGTAACAAGCCACACCCACCGTTTAGATGCCGTTATAAGTGTACCACATGTGTCTGCCATGTCATCAACAAGTATTGCTGTCCTGTCCTTCACATCACCCACCAAAACCATCCCAGCTATTTCATTAGCTATCTTTCTCTATTTTTATTAACATTTATAATGATTGCACACACTCTCTCTCTTTCCTTTTTATTACTTCTTTATGGATAAGAGCAAATCTTGCTTCTAATCTATCAGCAATAGCAGTAACTCTGAGGGAGAAGCAAGAGGTTACTAATGAGATACTTTTACCCTACATGTACCTCTTAGCTCCTCCAGCATCTGGTGATACAATAACCGACTCCTTCCAGTCTTCAATATTCTCTCGTATCCACTTGAGGACTTCAGGCTCGGCGTAAAGATTATCAACAGGAATATCAAAAAATCCCTGGAAATAATAACACGTTACACCCTAACACCACACAGACTATTATAATAAGGACATGCTGACTCTATAATTGAGGACGCTTGGTAATCCAATCGGTACAAAAATACCTCTAAAATGAGGACAGTCCAAGTATTACCAAGTAAAGTGTAATTTAATGAGTTCATGCACCTGCTACATGTACATACTACATGTACATGTACACTTTCACATGTTGAAGACACATGTCTTGCATGCTCATAATGGTGGACAATATAAACTATGAACAAAAGCAAAGGGAGTGACCATGCAAGGTTTAATGAGGTTCAAACAAACAGACAACAAAGAATAAACTATTAACATGTGACTAATTGGCATTCATATGATCGGCATCATCAGTATTTTTATTATATAAAAATTGAATTATTAGCATACTTGAATCTGTGAGGCATGCAAGTCCATTGTGATGATGTGATCGGCTCCTGCGACTGAGAGCATGTTGGCAACAAGTTTAGCAGAGATAGGAGCACGACTCTACATTAGAAACATAACATTTTAATAATATGAGAATAATTGCACTATTTTTAAAATCTATGGACACATTAACTCCAATTAACGAGCAGTCTCACACCTCCCTCCCTCCCTTTCCTCAGTGATACAGGGCAGGAACTACTGGTAACAGCCTGAACCACGTGATACTTTATATGCAAAAAAAATACAATAATAAGAGTACATGTAAATAATGGCTTCGTGGGAATTGCTTGGTGTTTGTCTATTACATTTTTAGCCTATTTTGCTAAGTATAATGTATAGTTTTATCAAGTTTGAACTTATCCTTTTCGGGGCCAGTTATAAGCACACAAGTACTTGCATATTTTAAAAGCAATGATCAACAAAAAGTTAATGCTTAGAAACAAATTATACAGCCACTCCCAATTCCTTTCCTATATCTATCAGTGCTTTACCTTATCTTTCTTGTCCTGTCTAGCATAAGGATAGCAGGGTATGACAGCAGTCACACGTACAGCCGATGCTATCTTACAAGCATTGATCATGATCAGTAGCTCCATCAACATGTCATTAACTTCACCAGAGCCGCTTTGGACAATGTAGACATCTTCACCACGAACACTCTCACCAATTTCAACACTTCCAAAATTATAGAGAGTATAAAAATAATGACAACAACAATAATAATAAATTATTATAGTACAGGTTCAGTATTATAGTACTATTGATTTCATACATAGCTACCTTGTTTCTTTGTTAGAGAATTTCTTGAGTGTAACTTTGCTCAGTTCTAAGCCCAGACGGGCAGCTATACGGACAGCTAGTTCTGGATTGCTGTTTCCTGAAAATACTTTGATATTTGGCATCACTGACAGAGAAAAGATATAAAGACTGAAGAGAGATAGAAAAGGGGACGATTTCTTGCCGCACCTTCTCACGTGTGACAAAAAATTATGATTTAAAAAAATTAACAAGGAAGACCCGGTCAAACTTTAAACCCACTCGCACATTATTATTGATCTACTTACAAACTTAATAAAAAATTTATATCTAAAAAATAATATCTAAAATGTATAATAATGCCAATACTGGGACAGCACAAATTAAATCAAAACACACTAAATCAAATATATGATAGTCAAATTAATAATTTTCTACTACATCTACATAGTTGGCAGGGAATATCCCTACAGTCCCATTGAGATTCCCCTGCCACCAATCATCATCAATCTTTTCAGTGACATATATGATGTCACCAGGCTGAATGGAGAGCTCATCCGCTTGCTGTCCTTCGTAGTCATACTGAGCTTCACAGCGACAAATATCTAGAAAAAGGATCGATACAAATAAAGTTAAAAATTTTGTTCGTACAGGCAGGATATTCATCTTCATTTTGCTGAGGTTCGTTATTCCCGTCGTCAAATTCTAATTAAAAAGCATCAAAACAAGCCACACCTCCAAACACTTACCTTCATATTCAGAGGGTTGGTCTTGCTGCTGAGCCTGAGGTGGTGAAAATGAATCTCTCTTCTTCACACTGGAATAAGTGTGACCTGAACGACCAATAATTAACGTTACATACTGTGACATCATATGACATCATCATACTTATTGATGGACTGGGCGGAGTCCAAGAAGCAATTGTTTGTTCTTCAAGTATTGAGACTTGATCTATTGGAACTGATAATATACTCATAGACTGATTCTGAAGGGGGGAGGAGGGAGAGAGGGGAAGATAAGAGGTGATCTTAAGCAAGATTAAAGTTTAATTATATACATGTGAATTCCTTGCTTATAAGATTATACTTTTAGTTCTTGTTTAATTATCAAACAAGTAGTCATGTGAGTTTTTAATTCAATTACACATTGCCTCATTAGTAGTATATCCTCATTCAGTACATGTAACAACAATAACAAGCATAATTATAATTTAATGACAGCTGCATTCATAAACTCAATCGTTACTCTATAATAAACTCACTTGTCTGTCTTTCCTAACTTGTATATACTCGGTATAAGGCGAAGCAGGGGCTGGGAGACCAGCCAGCTCTGATCTAACGGTTAATAGTTTAAAATGGTTTGCCTTTAGCATGTTAATCAGAGCATTGGCTTCAATGAGTTGGCGGTTCACGTCAGCTGCTCCCTGCTCATCAACAAAATCAGGAGTCTTTTCATAGGCAGCTGACAAAGACATTACACCTAACAATAACAATAACAATAACAACAGTAAAAAAAATAATAATAATTTAGAGGATTGCGTGGGCAGTTTGAGTGACACAATTAGAGAACCAGGAGTTGCAATGTTTTGTTATTGTGCAAGCAAGTCATAACAGCAAGACTATCAAAAACAATCACAATAAACAAAGACAGTTGCAATGCAACTGGAGTACATATGTATAATGAAATTACCACAGTATAGTAGCAAGCAAAATGTACAAGTATCACTATATTTTCAAATATAAGCATGGGCTTCTTTCATCTTCAATTACACAAGGAGGCTTCTATTTAAGAACTCTCCTTATAATTATGTGCTTTATATATAGGCTTATACTGCCTCAATGCTTCTATAATTATAAATCAAAGCTACAGGTAGGCTTTTATTTCAAAATTACAAAAGGTACATAATATCAAGAGTGTCTTACATCTTGTCCCATATATTTAATGAACAAACCAGGTCTACGGTTAATACTCATGCTATATACACATGTACTGTACCTTTCTTCTCCTTAGACTTCCTATCAATGTCCTGCTCTAGCTCTTGTATCTTCTTATCTAAATTACTCTGTCTCCTATCCCCATTCATATGATTTCCCATCTCCTCTTCCTACGAAAGGGAGGAGCCTGTTGTCAAGGCAACAGAAGGACGGACAGGAAACTCACAAAAGTATCCAGTAGGAGTTGCTCAGGCAGGTTGGGCCCGGTCCCAAAATTCTGACACATTCCTTCAATATCTCTGTCCGGAGAAATCTGCTGAGCCATTTCCGAAAGCTCATCACAAGACTATATAAAGAATTTGTATCTAATCAAGTTCTAATCCTTTAATTGCATGTACTGAACTCTCTCTTCTATACCTCTTACTGCCCTCTCTTTAGATCTTACCTCTTGTAATGGCGAGACAACAGTTAATAGTATTTGTGTGTATTTTGATAGTACACTGGACACTTCCTCTAGCCTCACTCTCTCCAGGTTCTCAAGGTACCTGCAGCAGCGATACATCGCTGACTCCCAGTTCAGTCTGGCCTCCTCCGTTCTTACATTAGAGTCCTTGTATTCACGATCTACATGTATACAGGAGTACATGAACATGCAATAATATTGAGAGAGAAAGAGGGGAGAGAGAGAGAGAGGGGGGGGGGGAGAGAGAGAGGGGGAGAGAAAGGGAGATGTTTGACCTGCTTTTACAAGAGAATCTTCTGCTTTTCTAGCATTTTTCTCAACCTAACAATACATTATAGTAACAGAGAGTGGACGAGTATTATAGTTTGATGAGTATTATAGTTTAACTGCCAAACCTTGGTTATTTCTTTCTCATTAACGACAGATCCTCGCCTATTTTTGATGGCTTCAAGGTTGTCTAGAGTTTGTTCAAGCTCTCTACATTTAGTATGGGCCGTTCTTTTTAACTAAGAAATCAAAAACGAAAAATAATATCTTAATACATTTAGGCATATATAAAGGTCCATGATCATAATGTACTGTGCTCAGGTATATAGCATTTACTTTTAATTGCTCAGAGAATTTATCTAAATGTGCTTTCTTATGCTTCTCAACAGCACTTTCCAGCTAAAGAGAGAGAGAGAGTGAGAGGGTGAGATTATTAGTAAGCACATGTATGTCAATACTTAATTAAGCTTGTAAGTTTATTTAACTAATTACTATGACTGACAGGTTTTCTTTGTCTGATTTTCTCCTCCAGAAATGTCTTCAAAGGAACGTGACACTCTGACATTAGGTCTTGGGCAAGATTCCTTTAAAGGGAAAGAGTATGATTGTAATAAAAAGTAAAACAAACAATGTGGATGTTTCAGGTTTGACTTTGTTTATAAACCCCACTCTCTCTCTCTCTCTATGTATCTTACTTGTGAACATCAGCTTCATTCTCAATGGAATCCCCTAACTTCTGCCATGCCTCATTGTGCGACCTTGAGAAATAAGAAATAATTTAATACGAGAAACTACTAAAATAAGACTAACTTCATTAGTACAGTGGATCTTACATGCATAATATTAGTATGTGTTTATGTTAGTTTGAGCCAGTGTACATATACATTGTACATGTATTTTGTGTCCTTTTGTAATTACTCCCTCTCTTACCCCATGGATAGTCCATTGGCACGTCTAATTTTCTTTGTCAGCTGGACAAGCTTTGAAGAATATTGCTTTTCTATCTCAGACCTAGAGAGAGAGAAAAATTAAAAAGATGCAGTGTATTTATATTTTGTTCTTGCCTCTCTTGGACAACAGCCATGATTTCTTTGACAAAGTCACTTCCTTGCTTCATTAGTCTCCTCAGCTCCTCAAAGCCATTCTCTGCCTAATAAAATAACAGAAATAAACAAACAGGATTAAGTACATCAACAATGGATAAACCAGCAGGGGCATTGTTTCCACTCGCTACTACCCTGTACAACTTACCCAGAAATTATCCTCGAACATGTTAGCCATGCTGATCTACTATTTGAGCCTTTTAGTCAGGCGTTGCTAGAAATTAGTACAATCTTTTCGAATAGGATTGGAACGCAGAGATTGAATTGAAGCAGAGAGTCGCTTTGTGCCGGTATGTGAATATTAATTGACCGCGCCCATCAATATTCACTAATTCACCACACCCATGCATACAGTACAGCTAATTAGGTACACGTGCAAATTTTTCTCTCTTCAAAAATGGAGTGAGTTTTCCCAGCATTAAAACCCATGCCATTACTTGCCTTTTTCTTTACTTGCAGACCAGTTACTCCTCTAATAAAATGGGCCCAAAGGCATGACAAGATCCTGCTTAGTATATGCGTCTCCGACTTGAAAGATGAGAAGATTAACCTTGATCAGAAGAGCTTGACTTTTAAGTAGGGAATGCATTGTGGGTGTATCTATGATTTATTGGTCTCTTTCCAATAGCGGGACTGGTGGTAATAATGTCAAGTATGCTTGTAAGTTTAATTTCTATCAGGAAGTGGTGCCACAGGTAGCCCTCTATTAATGAATATGCTTTGTTGTATGTACATATACTGTTTAGGAGTCTAAGCATAAGAAGTTTGGCCTCGAGCTATTTCTCTCCATACAAAAGAAAGAGAGTGGAGGAGGATATTGGCCAAGACTTTTGGAAGCCAAGGGAAAGGTGTGGCTAGTTAATTAATTTAGTAATACTGGGTGTGGCTAGTTAATTAATTTAGTAATACTGGGTGTGGCTAGTTAATTAATTTAGTAATACTGGGTGTGGCTAGTTAATTAATTTAGTAATACTGGGTGTGGCTAATTAATTAAATTTTTTGATAGTAGGTTATTAATCTTAATTATATTTTTGTTCTCCTTAGGTCCCGTACTTACAGGTTGATTTTAACAGGTGGAAGGACGAGGATGAGAGTGATGAAGATGTTGACCAGTTTAATGACGGCTTGGAAAATGTAATTATATTTTAAATTTTGTAATCATTCTCTCTCTCATTTTGTTTGTTTCATACAGTTAATGCATAGGATGGATGTAGGAGGAGGCTCTGCTGGTAATGGTGGTGGATTTGATCCTGGGGTAAGTTCCTCCAGCTCTCATTCATGCGTGTATAGTGACTATAGTCTCATGTCCAGCAATGGATAACGAGATAGAAATATCTATGTTACAAATTTGTTGCACATAGCAGGTTTTATGGCCTGCTATGGCTTAATCAGGGTTTCCCACAAAGCATTGCCTAGTGAGCTTAAAAGCATGTACTTAATGAGCCGATAAGCATCACAATAGTACATGGCCTTTAGAACAACTTTTCAAATTTGTAAAAAATAATCCAATTTTGATCGGAATCAACTCAAACTTGCTACATAACATAACATGTAGAGATAGTATTGGTTTCAAGTACCAAATAGTTTCAAGTACCAAATACAACTGCTTTCACTGGTTTTGTATGTAGTCTTGTTGTCTTTGGTTCTTGTCATTACTTTGTTGTTATTTCTAGGATGAAGCACCAGACAGTGATGATGAAGAGTTGCCAGAACTCGAATCATAAAATTAAAAAGACAAATAATGTCTATGCAGCTTCACTCTCTCTTTCTTTTACATTATTAATCGTGCGTGATAAATCTGATAATTCCACTTTATATATACGATCGTTATTCGTTTTGTTGATATTTTTCTTGTGTTAAAAATTAATATCATTATTATTAATAGTTATTATTATTTTTGTTTTTGTTTAAATTCTTTAAGATACTATCAAAAAAGAGTTCAAAATCCTACCACAACTATGCATGACATTGACCGTTATAATTATAGGTTAGCTTTGATTCATTTCTGGAGCTTGTCTATGCGAGACTGAAGTTGTGTAAAATTGTTCTGAAGGCCATCAAGATTAGCACCAACTGACTTTTGTACCTAAGGGACCAGAGATACAGCACATGAATGTCAGTAAGGTGTAGAGTGACTACTTGTTCAAGAAGAGAAGTACATGTTTCCACTTGATTGTGTAACGAGCTCTGACCCTCAGAAAGACCAGCAACAGTATTTACTAGAGTTGCAGCTAGAAAGAGAGAGAGAGAAGTGAAAAATTGTGTAAATTATTCTTTACTATGTCCGTGGAGGTCTTTCAAAGTGTGGAGTCTATCAACCTGTACATGTATATAGATTAAGATGATGGTCGCATGGATGATAGAGACTCACCAGATCAGGTACAAGAGTAAGAAGTGGAGTCACTTGTGCTACCTTCTCAAGTGCATCATTTATCTACATGTGTACATATTTAATGATTAACCTCCCTCTCTCTCTCTCTCTCTCTCTCCCCCTCAATCATTATAGACTACCTTGTGCTGCTGGTCTGGATCATTCTCAAGCTGTTTGGATTGAGTTTGAAGCTCTTTGATGTTGTCAAGTAGGATCGTTAGTTGCTTAGTGACACTCTCAATGTGTCCTTTGTCAAGGACAGCCAACTTAGCTTGAAGACCAAGGACAGCAGCCTAGGAAGAAAAAGAGAGAGAGATTGAGGTAAAGTGGTCATTTTATAGATATTTAAACATTACGGAAAGATCTTTGTATTCAGTATCGAGACCAGCAGCTACAAGAGACTAGAAATTTATAATAAATTTTCTTATTAAAAACTTCTCTAACGAACCCCTTTAGTATCTGAGGGGCCCACTAATCCTTCCAAGACTGTCAGCCGACCCTCAATCTCACTCAGCTACATTAGTTTGTAAAAGATGTAACATTCAACTTTAAAATGACACACATACTTTGGAAAGATGACCAAATTTGGCTGACTCCAAGTTAGCATATACTTCATACACAGTCTGAGAGAGAGAGGTTGGGAAAATCAATGTTTATGTCTAATTTTCCATTACTTTGTCTGTTGTTGTTGGTTGTGATTTTACAGCTGCTAATTCCGCCTGTAGCTCCCTAAAGAACAACCAACCCATCTCAGTCACTCAATAACATTCTAAGTTCGCATACTTAAACAAGAGGGCGTGGTTTGCAGGGTCTCCGCCCACAAGTGTACTGTTAGTTAGTGCTTTGTCTAATTCCAATTGATGGAGTTGCTTCTGTAGCTCTTGGAGCTAATTATTGCAATTAATTAATTATTAGCGAGTAGGCGGAGCTAAATTAATTAAAACTCACATCAAGTACAATATCACCTGGAGAAACTGATCCACCCATTGACTTAGAATCCTAAGCAAAATTATAATCATCACCATCATTATCAGGGCTTCATTTAGGGGGGGGCGGAGGGGGGCGCTCGCCCCCCCTTGGGAGACACTTGCCCCCCCTTGATTGACTTATTAACATGAAAAATTTCATCTCCACAGCAGTAAATTGTATAAGTGTTGTGGGCACGCATTATGCATATACAATAGAAAATATTAGTGACCCCCCTTCTTTGGAATATTTTTAACCCTGCCCCCCCTTGTATAAAATCCTAGATGAAGGCCTGATTATTATTATTATTATTATTATTATTATTATTATTATTATTATTATCACCTTAATTTCCTCTACATCAGATACCAGCTGGGTCACTTCTTGTTTCAAACGATGATATCTTTGAATTAATGTCTCATCTCTCTTATCCTCCGACTAATAGTAATAATAATAATAATAATAATAATAATAGCTGTTAAATTTTTTCTAACCAACTCAAAATCGTTTGGATCAGTTCTAAACGTTGCTGGACGAGAGACAGAATCAGAGAAATCTGTAAAGAGGGAGAGAAGGGTTTTGTCAAAGTCATACGTGGTCTGATAATTATAGTACCAGCACGTCTAGAGCTCAATTGTTTTCCCTTGAACTTTTTAAATGAATTTTCTAAGTTACTTTCTAATGGCTCAACTGCTGACGAGATCTTTGTGTCGTCCTACAATTAATCATTATTAATAATAGGAACAATAGTGATAGCCCTTTTGTAATCACACTAAAATGATCTAATATGTTAAAACCCTTACATCATAATTAGTACTTCCATGTTCATTGGATCCCGAGTATTCATATATCTCCATATCACGTGACTAAAGAGTCATAAAAGATAAGAACAGAATAATGATCTTTTACTTACATATCTAGAGGTAGACATTTTTTACAGGTGAGCATTAATTAGAACAATAGAGGGTGGGGTTTGTGTTTAATTAAAACGGGCGTGGTCAATAGTTAATCCACGTGTAGTAAAATGAAGAAAGGAAGACAAAAAGTGAAAGATTTCTCCAAAAAGAAGGTAAAGTTTGGAAAAGGAAAGAAGAAGCAGGCAGCAGACAATGTCACCAGAGCAACCTTTAAGGCCCAGTCGATCGCAGTACCTCAGCAGCTGGAGGAAAAGGGGAAAGGAGGAGGTCCAATAACTCATCGTCATCTGTCATTTAACGTATGAATAAACTCATTGATGAATTTACTTTTAATGTAATGTGCTAATTTAGCTAATTTAGCCAGGTATATTTAATTATTATTATTATACATGTACTTACTACTGTAAAGTGAGAAACCTAAATGACCCCAAATTTTAATAAAATTCACAAAAATTGATTAAATATAGGCAAAGCATCCTTTATTATAGCACAGAGTATTTTTCCAAAATTGCTAGTAGAGAATTCTCTATTTTTATTTTTTGATGCATCGTTTTAAATTATAATTATATAACAGTATGTCCTAAAAATTGTGCCCTCATTAATAATATTATTATTTTATTCATAGGATCTCCTGAAGCAGTTGTCTCATCCTAAGCCATCAGTTGTTAGTGATGCTCTCAATGGTCTCAGGGAACTAATTTCAACCCCTTCTCCAGTCTCATTATTGCAATCAGACACAGCCTCATTGAGACAACTACTCAAGGACTTGGTTCCGGTTTTTTTAAATACTGACAAATCCGTCCACCACTCTCTCTTCCTCTTCCTCAAGTCTATGTTTCAGACCACACCCACTGACCTAATGGCCCCTTATATTGAGTACTTACTAACTGGAGTCAGTGCTTCAGTGACTCATATTGATCTCTCTGTTCGTTTCTCCGGAATATCACTCGTAGATCTTTTCTTAGAGTACTACCCATGTTTACTACGTCAGCATATTTCATACCTCTTGCCTTATTATGTGTCTTTATTGTCGCAGTTCTCACCCTCTGGGGGTACTCAACGTAGCGTCAAAGTACTCGATTGGACTAAGAAGACTGTCATAATTAATCAGCTGCTCTCTCTCTTTAAACTATTGACTGATTGTTCAACAGCACCTCAGCCTACTACTAATGACAAGTTTGAGTCACCTTTGATTGATCTTGAGAAGGAAGTAGTTGAGATTGGCGACGGCTTTCATGTCGGTATGTATGATTATTTCCAATCTTCTGCTTTATTATTACAATTATCACAATCGGCTTATTCTTTGACCTCTTCTGACTCCTTAGTCAACAACCTCTCTACTACTCCTTCCACTGTAGCATCAACTGATATAGTGTCTTCTCTTCTTACAATAATAATGGAGTATTGGATTGAGACGATACCTACTCTCTCTTCCCCTCCACCTCCCTCCTTTTTCTCTCTTGGGAAGAGAAAACGAAAGTCTAAGATGGTCCAGTCTCAGTCTCGCCCGCTAGTTGTCTCTCTCTTGGAGTTGATTGGGATCCTCCTGGAGATGAAAGGTTCTATCAATGAGCACCAGAGGCAGATAGTACAGCATCACTTCCTTCCCTACTTCCCCCTCTCTCAGTTTGAGGCTCACGTTAATATTCAGTTTTCATTTTTGTTGGTTCTCATGGGCGGAGACTTTGCTCTGGATCAAGTGTTTCGATTTCTTGCCATTTCCTTGCCTTCCTCACACCAGCTCTCTCACTCTGCTCCTCTTATCATTAAAATATTAAAAGTTTTGAATGTCAAGGCTATGATTCCCTCGAACTCGAGAGATTCACTGATTTCATTTTACGATTCTGTTTTTCGTGCATTTATATCAAAGCGGATGACGTCATCGTCTCTGGAGATTGTGTTACTATTTTTAGAACAGGTTTTGGATGGGATTGTGAGGTTTGACAAGAAACCCTCGTCTGCTTTCACAGAGTTTTTCTTTCACCCATGTTTGTCGTACCTCCCGAATTTGCTGAATGCTGAGTCATCAGTCTGTGGTGGGCGTGTAATGTTAATAAAGTTATTATTAAAGCTAATCAATTATTCATTGTCGCTAAGGATTGGATCAGTAGAAAAATCAATTTTGGATAATTTTAATAATATTTATGGTAAGTGAAAATAAAGCCTTGACTTTAAGCCATATTCTTTGGTTTTGGTATAATTTTTAAAATGGCTAATTTTTATACATGGTAAAAAAAAACATTAATATGTGTCAAGAAGCTATACTGCTTTTAAAATTAATGGCCATAGCTCAAAATATTTTGTCGGAATCAGCTTAAACTTTTTACATAACATAAGGGCATCAATATGTATCAGAAAATGTAAGAAAAATTGGGGGTGATTTCGGAGCCATTTTTTGGAAAAAAACCATGGGCTATAGTACAGGGAAATTTTCGAAAATTGGCCCATTTTTTAAAATGGTCATAACTCAAAAATTTTGTATCAGAATCAACTCAAACTTTCTACACAGCTTAAGTACATCAATATGTATCAGAAAATGTAATTAAAATTGGGATTGATTTCGGAGCCATTTTTTGGAAAAAACCATGGGCTATAGTACAGGGAAATTTTCGAAAATTGGCCCATTTTTAAAAATGGCCATAACTCAAAAATTTCTTATCGGAATCAACTCAAAATTTCTACACAGCTTAAGTACATCAATATGTATCAGAAAATGTAATAAAAATTGGGGGTGATTTCGGAGCCATTTTTTGGAAAAAACCATGAGTTATAGTACAGGGAAATTTTCGAAAATTGACCCATTTTTTTGAAATGGTCATAATTCAAGAATTTGAGCTCGGAATCAACTCAAACTTTCTACACAGCATAAGGACATCAATATGTATCAGAAAATGTAATATAAATTGGGAGTGATTTCGGAGTCATTTTTTGAAAAAAAACATGGGCTATAGTACAGGGAAATTTTCGAAAATTGACCCATTTTTTGAAATGGTCATAATTCAAGAATTTGAGCTCGGAATCAACTCAAACTTTCTACACAGCATAAGTACATCAATATGTATCAGAAAATGTAATAAAAATGGGGGGTGATTTTGGAGCCATTTTTTGGAAAATTTCCCTGTACTACAGTACAGGGAAATTTTCGAAAATTGGCCCATTTTTTAAAATGACCGTAACTCAAAAATTTCTTATTGGAATCAACTCAAACTTTCTACACAGCTTAAGTACATCAATATGTATCAGGAAATATAATAAAAATTTTGGAGCCAATGAGTTATCATTTAATTATTATAAACAATAGTAAACTGGTTCATGCTCTCCTTTTCTTTCTCTTTATATTCTCAGGCCCTGATGGATTCATTACTGTTATTCCTCAATGTCTTCTCCCTCCAACCATTAGTCTTCTTCATCATTTATCAGTCCTAACACATTCCAATATGTCTGTTCTCTTCTCTCTGGTGTGGAGCGGCAAGTTACCACTCTCTACCATCACTTCTCTTGTTCATCTCTTACACAACAGGTGCATCCATTGGGAATGGGTAATTGAGACTACTTTTATTTGTGTGCACTGATTTTAGTCGCTAAGTTAAAACATATTGCATAAGTTAGTAATAATTATATCAATTATTAATAATAATACAAGTTCTGACATTGGTAGTACCAAACTTCCAATGCATAAAGATGCTAAAATTACTAGTAAAACAATTAAAGAAGTTCATTCAAGTTGTCAGACATTTAGAATAGAATAAAGAGAGTTTGTCCTTTAAGTATAACGCTAGATTGAAAATTGAGTAAACCCCACTGGGGCTGGGCGAGTATTAATTTCTATAAAATTGCCCTCTCGTGCCAGTATTGTGTGATATTTTTTAAAATGCCTAATATGCCCATGGCTTCTCTTTGTAGGTGTTTGCTGTTGACGAGTGACGAGTTTGAAAACAATGTAGTTAATGATATAGAGCAAGTCTCTCACCACATCAGCTTCCTTCTCTCACTCTTAATGAGTTAGTGTAACTCATGCACAAGATCATGCACATGCACATACAAGGACTGTAGACTGGGAGGTGGTGGTGGAGGGGGAGGAGGGAGTGACATACATGTACATATATGTGCATGTACATGGGTGTGTGTGTGTGTGTGTGTATTATTTTGCTTTGTTATTTTAATATTTTGATGCATGTAGCTCAAAACTTCTGCTTCCCTCTCTCTCTTCCTCTTATTTTCTCTCTTTCCTTCTCTTCATTGCCAGCTTATCCTTTAGATAAACTCACCAGTTTGACATCAAAACCCAACAAAGGGCCTCTGATAGAGCCACCTCTTCCTTTCCCTGCCCCCCAGTTAAAGGAAAGAGACACACTAATAGATGTAAGCACTAAAATGAAATCATGTTAATTCCCATTTACATACAGCACAGTTCCACTCCCAGGGCCATATTAGGTATAGACTTGTTAGAGTCCAATTACACAATGATGCTTACCTTTGTCTTTTCAAATATGCAATTAGTAATCAATTCTTGTGGTTTGGTCTAGCCATTTATTGGATGTCAGCTCTTTGGCATGTCACTCCAGTCTATGCATGATTTAATGCTTGTTTGTATTGTAACCAATTTACCATATTAGGCCATTGTGTCAAGTCTCTCACAGTCTCTGCCAATTGATGACACTCTTATACTCAATGTTTTGATTCGATTAATTGTGGGTGTTATTATTATTATTATTATTATTATTAATACTTTATTTATGTAGAAGCCAATTAAAGTTTTTCCATTGGACACAGTGTATGGGATTATGTGCCTTATCTCCCAGAGGTAATATATCACTATTATTTATTTCTGTTATTGTTATTATTGTTATTGTTATTGTTATTGTAAACTAAAAGCACACTTTCCATGAAGTAGGGACTTGTTTTTTTATTATATATTTATCCTGTTTTTAATGAAAGTATTATTACCATTTCCCAGGCCCCTTGCATGAGGGTAGTGCATGACTACCTGTATCTGCTCTGTGTGTATTAGTTTCTGGTCATTGTAAACATCATTTTCCATTAATGGAACTGTTTGTGTAATTATTACAATTGTACAAATTAATGTTGCTACTGTTTTTATGTAAACAATTAGGCTAATGTGACTGAACACAAATAATTATTATCAAACAGTCATGCTTGCCACTCTGTCTCTCTCTGTCCTTTATGTGTAAGCATGCATTTATATGTCTGTTTTGTTTGTACATAATTACACAAAATTCTGTCAGTAATAATGTTAATTGGAGCTTGTATGGGATTCGTGCTCATTTCTATTGCATTTGATGTTAATGACATTAAGAGAGAGAGAGAAAGATACAGAGAGAGAAAGACAGAGAGACAGAGAGAGACAAAGAAAGACAGAGAGACAGAGAGACAGAGACAGAGAAAGACAGAGAGAGACAGAGAAAGAAAGACAGAGAGAGAGACAGAGACAGAGACAGAGAGAGAGAGACAGAGAAAGACAGAGAGAGACAGAGAAAGACAGAGAGAGAGAGAGAGACAGAGACAGAGAAAGACAGAGAGAGAGAGAGAGACAGACAGAGAAAGACAGAGAGAGAGACAGAGACAGAGAGAGAGAAGGTTAGAGTATGTATCATTTACAGGTCAACTCCTCTTCCTCCCTCTCTCTCTGCTGCTATCTCTCCACTTCTACTGGAAATAATCATTGCCAAGGAAATGGGCTATGTAAAGCACGAATACCTTGACAAAAGTGTAAAGTGTCTCCAGGGAATGCTGGAGAGGAATATAATGAATAGAGAGAGATTTGGTCAACTTGTTAGGGAGAGAATTAAGACTAATGTAGACATTACTGGTTACTGTGTTGATTTACATGTATGATCGGAATATTTATGATTGATATAATGATTAATGTTGATGTGAAAGTTTATTTGTTCTATTGCCAGACAAAGCAAATTCCTTTCTTCCCTTCCCTCCATTGTCCAAAACAATGAGCAGACCTTTATTTAAATTTTCATTACCTGAATGTTGATTCACGGAAAAGAAAAACGTTTTAAAAGTTGAAACAACAATGAAACTACATGTATATTTACTTATCATAAAGCTCACAGTATCACTTCAGTCAATAAGCTAGTTGAGACTATCAATAAGCACGTGGTATTTTTAACTTTGTTTATGCCCTGGAGGAAAGCACAGTATGAGATAATAAGAGAGACAGAGTGGTAGGGAAAGAAATGATTTTTACTAAAACAGAATACATACAGACTCAGTGCTTCATTTAGTGACTTCCTTATTTGCTCGTATTGTTTGAAGCTTCTATTGGCAGCAAAACCTTTTGTTAATTAGTGACAACACGATAGCATCTACTTTATCTACTTGTAGCTTTATACTACATAGGGGACGCGAGACTATTGACTCCTCTTTCATTATTTCATACAGAGGTGTCCTCTTTTTATTGCATAGGCTTGTAGACCTTGTACCAATTGGGATATTACAATATGTTGAGGTGTCCTTACCTCGTCATCATAGAGGTTAGACTGTATGCGGTTGTATGTTGATTTTGTAATCTGATATTGTGTGTGCATATATGAGATATCAGAGAATTGAATTTTAAAACAAGTTATTTTAGAAAGAAAATAAAAGTCTATTAGATGAAGACACATTTTAAAAACAACAGTGGAATAATAAACTATAACAGCAGGATTTACATTTTACATGCTAATAATAATAATAATAATAATAATAATAATAATGAGATTATGAGAGAGTTATGTGTATTGTCCTTGGGTCTCTCACTGCCCATACGTTGGGTTCTTGTACTCTTTATTGGGACTCTCAAACAACGGGTTCTCATTCTATGGGAGAGAGGGGGAGGATTGAGTTTTAATGATGTGTTTTCATTATTTATTACCTTTCTGAATTTTGGATCTTGTACTTCGGCCATGAATTTCTTAACTTCCATATAATCCTAGAAGAGAAGGGGGAGGGGGAGGGACAGACCAAAAAGTGGCATGAGGTACTGTTTTATTGTCTTAAAAATGTTTTGTTTATTACACGTACATGTAAAGGATTATCATCTTGTTAACATAAACACTCACACACACCTAGTCATGTAAGGGTAAATAATCCCACACCACGTGTACAAATACTCCCACTGGCTCATTCATTTATTGTATTATTATTATGTGACTTTGGTGTCAGGAAGATGGTGAAAGTTTCACTCCCCCCATAGTGGCACTTGATTGGCTCAAAATTTTTATATGGTATAAACTAGTCAATAATTTGCAGGTGTTTTCGGAGCTAATTTTGGAAAATGTTAGTCAATCTGAAACACTCCCAGTTTTATTACGTTTTCTTTGTTTATTTGTGTATGCATTACGTATCTCTTACCAAAAGCATTAGTAACAGTTTGATTAGTGCTAGTAGGATTAGTCCAATTATTAGTAGAGCTACTATTATAGAGACTGCTATTATCCAAGGGGCCACAGTTGCAGCACAACCTACAATACATTTAGTACATGTAATACATGTAGTACATGTATAGTAGATGTATTAATTACCGCTGTCGTCATCAAAGTGTATGGGTAGTGGGTTTCCATTGTCATCAAGAGCAACGTAATAGCGATACTCACAACCTCCCGACGAGAAGTCACAAGGTATTGCTCTGTTTCCTATTGAAGACATAGTCATGTTGTATCCTTCCCCTCCCTCTCTCCCTCTCTCTCTCTCTCTCTCTTACCGTTTATCATATAACCAGAGCCGATCCCATTGACCCTGTTAATAGTATCATTGCATGCCTCACAATTGGAGGCAGTATTATCAACCAGACATATAGCACATTGCATTGTGTCATTACATGAAGCTACTGGACAGGCCTAAGGGAGGAAAGGATCGTGTATAGTTAGTATACAATGTGCATAATGTTGTGATGTCTTACTGATGGTGTTGTACATATCTGGCAGTAGGTTCCAGTGAAATCCTCAGAATTACATTCACATGCACCACACACGCATTCACCATTACCACTGCATACTACCTACAGTACACAAGAGAGAGAGAGATAGGGGGAGAGAGAGAGAGAGAGGGGGGGGGAGGGAGGGAGAGAGAGAGTTATATATAGATCATGTGATTGTCATGTCCTTGCCTGGTCTCCTGGGTTAATGCATGTGTTATCATCAGGACTGCAGTCACAGGCTGATCCTGTATATGGTCTACCAGATATTGAGGACGTCAAGCATTGGCACTGTCCATCACAAGTGCAGACTCCCCTGTCTCTACCTGTAGAAGGAGTCAAGCTATTCCTTTCCATCATTTTATTAGTATGTACCTCCACAGATTTGACCCTCACTGTCTCTGTCACACTGGAAATTGTCACATTCACAGTTTACACCAAAATATTCCAAATCACCCTATTAGGATTGTTATTATTATTATTATTTATTGTTGTTGTTTTTATTTACTTCTCTTGTGTCACAGTTACATCGTCCACAGACACATGTTCCTCTACCTGAGCAGACCTGACCGTTCAATGTGCTGATCCTATGTATCATTAATTAATTAAACCACTTATTAATTAATTATTGCTATTAACTCACTCGCACATCGTTGTGTTGGAACTGGTTGCATCCCGACCGTCACATTGACACATGTCGCCAAACCTGTTTGAAAAGTTTGTTACTAATACATTTCTTTCCCTCCCTCCCTCTATCTCTCTCTCTCTCTCTCTCTCTCTCTCTCTCTCTCTCTCTCTCTCCCTCTCTCTCTTTGTATTCTTACCTTCCTTCATTGCACTGGCATATTCCACAACTTGATGTCCCAAAGGTGCTACAGGCGGTACTGTTTATGTCCTGTTAAATGAGTTGGTTGATGAATCATTGATGAGTTATTCTAATACCTGTTGTTGCTCACATTCACAAGAACATATTGTGCTAACGTTAACAGTAAAAGAGCCAAATCCTAACACTCTGAAAGTAACCCTGAGAGAGAGAGAGAGCATATTATTATTATTATTATTATTATTTATTTATTTTGTTTATTCACATTGTTGCTTGTTGTGTTAATGCTTCTGAGCATTGAAGAAGGTTTGCTGTTATTTCGAATGTTGCGTTGCTATCTAAAGTCACACCTTCACAAGCTTGTCCAACAATCCTAAACAATGAAACAAGTGATGGACTTACTGATACACAATACATGCATATACATGCATGTTGTGTGTGTGTGTGTGTGATATAATGACAATGCAACTTGAGGAATCTATAACTTTTATTAAGAGAGTAGTAGATACTATACCACAACCATGTGTGAAATGCACATCGGTTGTGAATGTGGAGGCATTGCATTGGAATAGCTGTAGCATAAACTGTTATGGATTTATATGGATCAAGTGTACAGTAGTATGGGTTGTGCATGACTGTACATGTGTGTACTGTGTATATTAAATTTAGATTACGTTGGGCATGATATTGGAGTTATATTGAAAGAGAGTCCTGGTACATTATCTGGTGAAATGATGACCCTCTGTGATACTCTCTGCATGAAAGAGAGAGAGAGAGAGAGAGAGTTATGTCAAAGGTTTAGTGTATCACTAACAGTATAAGATTCTTGTATTAGTGTTAGAACGTTGCTTGAGTCACTTGCTAGCTCTCCAACATCAGCTCCCTCCAATTCACTAGCTAGTGCCTACAGTAACAGGTTTAGTGTGTATACTGTAATGCTTCTTTAATTAGTATTATAATTAATTATATTAATACGTATATTGAACTGCTTTTATTTCATTACTGACTGTATAGAATGGTTCAGCTGATGACTCTGCAGCAAATAGTGGGATGATGTCATATTCTCTTAGCTTTTGCCTTATTTGACCAATTGATGGGTAATCCTATTAATACGGTAATTCTGTTGTTATTGTTATTTTTATTTTACTTACGTATACATCGTACTGTGTATAGTCAACAGGATTTCCATTGGCTGGCTGTGATGGCATCAAACATTGTCCGTTGTGAGGTATGACTGCACCTCCAAGCTATGAGAGAGAGAGAGAGAGGGAGGGGGAGGAAGAAATTAGTGTAGTATGTTATTGTTTTTAATTACAAAAATTGTTCAATTATTTATCAAAAGTATAGTGTTTTTATAAACCATAATATGCATTTATTTTCACTTTGTTTTATTCAGTTATTTTATGTGTACCTTTCCATCTCCAGCATAATGAAAGCCAGCATCAGTAATGTACAATAGTAAATGACGTGCATTCCTTCTCCAGCCAATAAGCTGTAGAGAGAGAGAATCATGTGATATAATGCTAATCAAATATTAGTTTATGGTCAAGGAATGCACATCCACTTAGAGGTGGTTTCGAATCCATTAATACTCCCACTAATCTAATATTACCACATTTGAACAAATTATTTATAGTATTTGATACATGCACTGTGCTGTATATAGGGCCTAAACTATTTCTTTTCAATACAAAGGTATCCTCATTTTAGAGGTACTGGTTTGTACCAATCACGACATTACAAAATGTTCTTATTATTATAAGGTGTCCTTATCCCACTGTGTGTGTGTATGGGCTCACATCTTGACAAACTATTGACTGCAAGAATCCATCGAAACCTCCTTCAGGTGCATCACGATTACCACTGATAATCCTCTCCTGTACACCTTGCTAAATGAAAGAGAAAGAGAGAGGGGGTGGGTGATGATGGAGCAGATGCATTATTGTATTTTTTGCGTATAGCCTTGTTATTGTATTTGAAGAGGAAAGGTAGTTTAAGATAAGTGCAAGTTATCCTATGGTAAGTGTGTGTGTGTGTGTGTGCATGTGTTTTGTGGGTAGTTTGTTTACAGTCTACTGATTCAATTCTCCTTAATGTGGGCAAAGGATCAGACAACATAGAATTTTGAATTATGTCTTCTTTGACAGACAATAATTGTTTGCTCTTCCTTTCTCTCTCTCTGTCTCTCTCTGTCTCTTACATTAAATCTGTCACTGTCATTCCCTAGTGATATAACGTGCCTGAAGCTGTATGGAACTTGGCATGTGCCACATGGTTTTGCACCACTAGATGGAAGAAAGAGAAAAGTCAATTATTAGATTATATAGCTATAAATCACAATATTTCTCTCCATTTCTTTTTCCCTCTCTATCTCTTCTCTCTTGCTCACGGTCTAGTATCAACATATGGAGCTAATGGTTTATCTACAAACGTCCCAAATCCAAGCTGATAGTTAGTACTGATACTCCTTATTGTGTCAGCTACAGAAAATGTGGCAAATATGACTTAGTTTTCTCATTTTTAGTCTCACCAATTCGACCTCCAAGACTTTTCAAGTGATCCAAGTCATTGTTCATAGAGTAGGATAGATCCATTAATAGATAAAGGTCCAATGGAAAGTTAGGTGCAGGCTTTACTGTCACATTAAATTTAACTGGCTGACCTATTACAAATAAAAATATGAGATATGTTCTATCACAACATTTCATATAGGTGTCATGCATGCCATCATAACCTAAACATTACTGTCATATCCTCAAGCAATGGAGAATTAAGTAGTGACAGTGTGATGTCTTATAAGTGTTTTGTGTGTTTACAGTGTTCACATACCTCTTCTGATGCTAATGCTGACACTCTGTGGTGAGATTTGATTTAAGTCTGTAAATGAGTCCTATATTGGTGACAGTGATTGGTGATTAATGGACAGTATAATGTCATTATTATCACGAGTGCATTATTAACATGTGTACTTAGTTTGGTTTGTGGCATCATAAATATGTAGCTGTGTAGTCTTTTACATGAATGCATGTGTATCAATAAAATTGAATAGTTGTCATTGGTTGTCATTTAAGCAATATCAGCATGCATACATCATTAACTTTAACAATGCCATGTATGGGTTTGATTGGGAAATGAATGTGCATTATTACAAAAATCACTGAGTATCAATCTTCTATTATGATGGCTGTTCATGCGCTTGTGTTAATGAGTGATACTTTTACATCATTTAACACTATATATGCATGCATGATAATTAACTCACATTGCTTTGGCTAATGACTCGACTAGCTGGATTCTGAATGTAATTGGTAGATGAGTTGCTGCTACTACAATCAACGTTGCTAGTCTGGCCTGAATAACACCTTGTCCCACTGTGATTCTGCAGTAATAGTACATATGCTATTATCATTAGCTCATAAATCACCCAGTAAAATACACTACTATTAGCCAAAAAAATACACTTATCTGCATTTAGAATAATCAAACCAGATTTTTCTAAACTTTGACATACACTGTACATGCATACATGGCCCGAGTATAATGCATTTTTGATAATACTTACCGGGTCTGCACACCAAATACATGATGGAGATGCTTGTATGCAGTCGTTACAGCTCGTCTGAGCGTTGCAAATTAAGTTAGTATCTTGCGAATAGACTAACAGAAAAAAGAGAGAGAGAAGTTTTGATAGCTCATAGTAGTGGCTTATCTCAGTCCTCAGTCGTTCTTACCTTGTATAGATCCAAAGTGCAGTATTACAGCCAGTGCTAGTAAGAGATGCATGATGTCGACTTCTTGCAGTCTTTCAGCTACTTCAGTCTCTGTTTTCTGTCTGATACTCGACTCCTACTGCTTTTTCTGTTGCTCTCTCTTTCTAATCGCTACCAGGATTACCACAATTGGCATTTGGCGAACAATTTTTACCAATTTCGGTATTAATGCGCGAACAAGCCCACGAGAAACATTTTCCTCGCGGGGGCATATGTTTTCTAATTATTGATAACTTGAGCTATGATACAGCAAAGAAATAATTTCTCTTTAGTAATAATTATTAAAAATTTATTTTTTTAAAAACACAAAAACACAAATGCTTAAACTGCAGGCCTATTGTATTCATTATGATACTACCACTATGAGAGTGAGAGAGAGAGAAAGGAAAACAAAAGAAAAATATTAGAGTTAAATTATTGTCTTAAAGCTCATTCCTTTCCAAAAGCAATATTATCATATTTCACTGCTGGACTGTGGTACAGTGGATTAAAATTCTACAAAAAATAATACATTATAATACTGAACAAGCTTAAATTCTAATTATTACCTTTGATAAATCTGTTTCGGCAACTTCTTTTTCAAATTTCTTCCATTCGGCTCGGTCCTGTTAAAATTTGACATAAAAAGCCAGTTAAAATTTATATATTTTCGCAGAAATCTTACCGCCAATATGAAGCAAATCTTTATGATGGTTATTATGAGGATACCAATCAATATGAGAACTGCTAGCAAAATGAGAGCAAGCTCCCACCACCTTAACGGAAAACAGGCTGTGAGAAAGAGAGGAAGGAGAAAGACTTAAAAACACATTATTATTATAATAACCTCCATCGGGTTCAACGGCGACAAAACTGCCCCCTGGCATATCAATCTGAGGCAAGGCTATGTGATAGACGTATGTGCAGAAAGGGTCAGCTGTAGTGAAAGTACAACGTTGAGTGGTGCTTGAATCAGCACCTGAATCTACAGAGAAGAAATATGGACAGTTGTAACACGTATTTACACATGTACATGTGTGTGTGTGTATGTGTGTGTGTGTGTGTGTGTGAAATAGTTGATTTTTTTACCTGTGATTACATGATCCTCATTGTCTGCAGGTAGTCTACTGTATCGGAAGTTAGCAGTAGCTTGACATGGACATTCATTTTGGTAGTTAGGATTGTCAGCAATACACCTAATGCAGTCTCGGTTCCCATTGCAGCTGGCTCTGACTGGATTGCTAGTAATCTCACAGTAGCGGCCAGTGAACCCTAACCCACAGGCACAGGGTTGATCACGATTGCAACTGGAGCATGAACCACGTCCACTACACGGCTAATGGAAGCAAGAGATTATAAATAATTCATTACACACAGACGTATCTTCTCTCTCTCTCTCTTTAACTCATTTGTACCATTGTTGTGTTAGGATTGTAAGGGACGCTGGGGTCGTAGCAGTAGGCCACATTGCACTGACAGGCATCACCAGTGAAGGGGAACCCACCATATGAACTGGTCTTACACTGACAGACTGGGCCAGTACTGCGACATACACAATCACCTGGAGAGAGGGAGGGAGAGAGAGAGAGGGAGGGAGAGAGAGGGAGGGAGAGAGAGAGAGGGAGAGAGAGAGAGAGAGGGAGGGAGAGAGAGAGGGGGGGAGAGAGAAAGAGAGAGAGAGAGGGAGGGGGAGAGAATGAGTTAAAGCTACATGTAGATGCATATAGAAATAAATACCGTTAGTAGATCCACTGCAGACAAACTGGGAGCCATTCCTCCGACAAGAAAAGTTGTCACATTCGCAAGCAGTACCATTGACAAATGGCTGCTCAGACTAAAAGGTAAAGATTAAAGAGGAGAGATAAAGAGAGAGAGAGACTGATGACTTAATGTGTCCACACATACCACAATAGCATATCCAGAATCAGTGGCACTGACTCTTGTAACATTGTACAAGTCTCCATTATTAATAGGAACAAAGTTGGGCTCGGTACACCTGCAGGTCCCACAGTCACAGCTCCCTCTGTTACGACACTCCGAACCACCAGACATGCTAAAGGTTTTTAAAAGGTGATAATTATTACATTAATCATTTAAACTAACGGGCAAGTGGGTTCTTCTTCTTGAGGACAATCACATCTATCACCAGACCTGTAATTAAGAGGATAATAACACACACACACACACACACACACACACACACACACACACTTACCATCCTGCATTACAGTCACAGACCCCACAAGAAAATGTTCCATTACTATTGCACTGTGTACTATTAACAACCTGGGGGGGGGTTAGGGTGATGGGTGTGGTCAAGCATGAAGAGGTAACTTACAGCAAATCGGTGACAGTCACAAGCACAAATGGCATTAACCTCAATTTCAAAAGCACCATAAGCAGGAACCCTCATAGTGAAGGTCCTGTAATAATATAAAGAGATGAGTAAATGGAGGAGAAAGGAGGATTAGTACTTTGTGAAGTTTTGTTCTTGTGGACATCCGTCAAGTCTTATATTTATATTGAAAGTTGTTGTAGTGTTAACTAGGACACCTGAGCAAGAGCGACCGTTAGGATTAGCAGTGGCATTTCTGAGGGAGAAACACAGAGTCAGTATTATTATCAACAAGTATATGTACATGTACTGCTTTACAGTGATGCAAGTTAAAACCCGGAAAAATTAAATTATTAATATACAGGGTTTCCCACAAGGCATGCTTCATGAGCTGAGAAGCACCACAATAGCAGCACAAGAGTTTTGAATCCACCAAAACCCACGCCCACACAATGAACTTGTCTTACTCGGGGCATGTTGCTTCATAAGTTATTGTCACACCTGGCTGTGTTTCAAATGATAATGCCACATTAGAGACAGCTGCCTATAAACATAAGAAATGGTTTTAAGCCTCTCTCTCTCCTTTCCCCCTCTCTACCTCATATGCAGTCTCAATAACATTGATAATATTATCCGAATCGCTAGATATGGCTACAGTTGCGGCATTAGTTCCTTCAAGGAGAGAAGAAATGTCATTATAAATCTTTACATTTGTCTCAGTGACAGCGAAAATTGGTACTATAGTGTTTTCGGTAAGAACCTGCCTTATCTGATTAACTGATGGAAAATCCTGGGGGTATACACATGTGATTAACATTAAACCTCTCTCTCCATCTCTCTTACATATAACAAGTTGCTAGTATAAGTTATTCTTCCAGTTGATTCCTCAAGAGTTGTCAAACACTCAAATGGTGGAGGCCTCACAATTCCTGCAAGCTATAAAAGAAAAGATAAAATTATCAAAGAGCAATTGAGGGAGGGACGTGCAAGACCTTCCCATCTCCAGCTGTGTGGGCACTATCGTCGGTGAGTACCAATAAAATCTTCCTGGCATTCGGTCTCCAGCCGACAACCTGAAAAAAAAAGAAGGAATGACTATCGGAGAGAAAGAGAAGCATTTACAGAGTCACAGAGAGCTGCTTGAAAAATGGCATCAAAAGTTCCTTCTGGGTCATCAGCATTGGTGGATATTTGAGTATTTTGGAAGCCATTCTGAAGAAGGAGAGGAGTTAAAGAAGAGGATTAACAAAAAATTCTGACAATATCTTACAGAAAAGAGAACGGAGTTATTGGTCAGGTTTATATTGTGAACGTAACTGAAAGGGAGTGCACATGGCATGTTAGGGCAGCCATTCCGGAGTTGAATGTTAGAGATATAGGGCATCGTTAACTTGTCGACGTAAGTACCGAAACCAACTTGAAAACGAGTCGATATGTTCCTAATTACATCAACTGAGAGAGGGAGGGAGGGGAGATAAGAAATGCTAAATTTATGTACCTACCAATGTCTTGGGAGATGCTCTTTATGGTATCTAAATCGTCGTCAAGAGAAGCTGAAAGATCGAGCAAGAAATATAAATCAAGAGGAAAGTTCTCAGCAGGTACGATGGACACGCTAACTGTTTGACTATCACCTTTGGACAAGGAGAGAGAGAAAAGAGAAACATATTAAAATAGCATAAACTTCCACATTATTATTATTACCAGCTCTTAGATTAACTGTAGCTTTATTAATAGATATTTGATTGTCAGAATTTAATTCTCTCTAAATTGAAACAATAACAATTATGCTTAAGTTAGCTTCTATTATTATCATGTGACTGTCATGTGAGTGGGAGGTCATGTGATCATTACTTCATCCAACATGGTAGAGCTCTGCACATCATCAATCATATTACAGTATGATGAAAGGCTACCGCGAGTTCCACATCTTGGCTGACCCTGAGAGAGAGAGAGAGGGGGGGGAGGGGGAGAGAGGTAGGGAGAGAGAGGTAGGGAGAGAGAGAGAGAGAGAGAGAGAGAGAGAGAGAGAGAGAGTGAAAGAGATAGAAAACCATATTAGGAAATATACAAACAAAGTTAACCTTACATCCTAATTCAATGTACAATTAATAATAATTAATTTAATACACTTAATACTTAGTTATTATACCAAAATGAGGATGTGTACATAATTATTATATCAAGCAAGAAAAATGCCACAAATACTTTATTTAACCAAAGATACACCCATCAACCATCAACCACACACAAATCACACAATAATAATTATTGTACATACGTAATGTACAAGTAATGCAAGTGGTTTCTTGTAGATTATCCAGGTGTTATGGTAAACTATTATATGAATGCCCTCTAACCATGACCACAATTACATACACGTACAATGTAACCTCTCTTTATTATTGGGCCCATAATACCTATCCTTAATACAGAGGCATCATCATTTCAGAAGCACTTTTGTACTGATTCAACAGTCAGTTGTGTGTGAACAACATATGTATGTACTATGTATGTAATAGTGTCATTCTTACTTCTGTAGGAGTGAAGTTCGGATCAGAGCACCAAGTACAGTCAGGTATAGCATAACACTCATTACATGTAGTAGCACTGCTACACTGAGCTTTAACTGTGTGTGAGAGAGAGAGAAGAGAGAGGAGAGAATCACTTTAATATATACACAAACACAGTCACACACTGAGGGTATCATTGATTTTATGAATTATTAATCTGCTGCTTACTTTCAGAGGCTAACCAAAGCCCCAGTAGTAAATATAAGAGATTTCTCATTAGGTTTCGCTGTTAGCTACGCAGAGAGAGAAGAAGAGGAGAAAGGAGGAGGAGGAGGATAAGACAAAGTTGATGAGAGGATATCCTGCAGTTATTCCTTGTGGTTAAGGTTGGTATGAAGGTACCTACGTCAACTTACGTAATAGACTACTTACGGTACGGTACAGTCGCCATTTTGTTAGAGTGAATATACGGTAGACTTTTTGTCTTCGTGTCATTATTACAAAACTCGGGGTCCGGTGGTGTTTGGTGTCGTTGTGGACGAGAGTTGACCAAAAAAGGTTTTACTGTAGGCTAGAGTGTATAAGCACTGCTGGATATAGGCAGACGACTAAGTCAGAGTTGCGGTCAAACGAGAAAAAGCTACTGTGGAAAAATGAAGTCCCGAGGCAGCTGCGGATTCATACTTTTCGCTGCACTCCTTTCTAGTCTCGCCTGTGTTTCTTACTGTGTCCGGCAGAATATAGATACTACTGCTCCTATAATTCGAACCAAACCGAGCAATTTGCATGACTATTCATACCTAGGTTATAATCTTGTGCTTCATAGGCTAAGCTCATCAGACATAAGGTAAGGACAGCCTCTTGCATGCATGCATGCATGCAGACTGAACACAAAATTTTTTTGCAAAAAAATTAAATTATTTTAAAAATATCTCTTTCCCTTCAATGCAGGATAATTGTCAGTGCTCCTAATGGCACAGCTAATGGATCTAACGATGCTGTACCAAACACTGGAGTAATATTCACTTGCTCTCTAGCACAAAATGGTATTTGTTCACCATTAAATGGTGACAATAATGGAGATGATAGAAGACTTTATGATATAGATCCAGGTACATTTTAAGTTAATAATGTACCTATAAAAGGCTTAAGCATGCATGACTCATAATGATTGGCTGTCACATTAAACTAGCTATTACATTCCATACTTGCATGCTTATGATGCATTAGTGTTGTGTCTGTAGCACCTGCATGCAGTGTATACAGTGCAAACAGTCAGTGATTATTGCATTATATGTACTTATGAATTGCGTTGCCAAGTAAACCCTATCAAGTACAGTGTAAACTGCAGTCAAAATAAAATATTCACTATTTCAATGGCCTCATCAGTAATTTGTGGGGGAAGATAGGAATAAAATGGTAACTAGTGCCAAATTGTGGAACAAAATTTGTGTTCACACTACTTCTTAATGCTCTACTGCTATTACAAAATTCACCCAAAAATTTCTCATAATAATAATGTGTGTGTGTGTGTGTGTGTGTGTCTAGATGATATAGACTCTGAAAGGAAGTCACACCAGTTCCTGGGAGGAGCCATGGACAGCAAAGGAAGTCACTTTATTGTTAGTAAAAATAATAATCAATAATAAATGATTAACCACACCTATCACACACATGTAGGCATGTGGTCACAGATACATCAACACCAATGGAGGTGGTTCAAGGCTACCACAAGGAGTATGTTACTATACTCCTAACAGTAACCTTCAAGGCTTTCAAAAATTTAGTTATTGTAATAGTAAGTGTCTGCCTGCATGCATGCATGCATGCATCTCATTATAAATCTGTTTACAGCTAATCAAAATGGTGGGGACTGTCAGATCGGAACAAGTGTGACATTTGCCGTAAGTTTTGTAAACTAGACACTATTATTTTAGTGTGTCCCTTTAATTAGGAAACCTCTCCAAATAACGTACAGATTGGTATGGGTGCACCTAATAGAAACACATGGGCTGGTAATTGAAATAAATTCTAAGTTATTTAATGATTTAGCGTATGCGTCATTAGGTGCTTTGTTCAGACGTGAATCAGGTGGTAATTTACGAACAACTGGTACTTCTGAAGGAACTGCTGGTTACGCATGGCAAGGGTATGCTCTAACGAAAGGACACATAGTTGACACTGTGAGAGAAGACTTCATCGTCTCTGTCCCACGAAGAAACCTTTATAAAGGAATAGTAAGAGTGGACGACTTCACGCATGCACGAATGTTAATTAGAAGTACATCAGTTAATAAATATCAATTAAATTTGTTAGGTTAACGTGTTTTCGAATGACAGGAATTTGAATATATTTACTCAACCATTGAATGGAGAGCAGGTATTTGTCGCATTACTTTTACACTGCAGGCTATTTATTGCTCTTTGTCTCCCTCCCTCTCTCTCTCTCTAGTTGGGTGAGTATTATGGTCACACTATACTAGCTGCTGATCTTACTGGTGATGGATTCGATGAGCTTTTGGTTGCTGCCCCAATGTTTAGTACTGCCAATAGTCCTGAGGTGGGACGTGTCTTTGTATACAGAAACTCTGGAGTAAGCCAAAACCATATAATTATGTAGTTATACTTCTGCATGCATACATATTATGCTCATATGTGAACTTATTATTATTATTATTATTATTAGTATTCTGCAAGTATTTTTCTTGTCCTTGCTTTATTTATTTCTTTTTAGGGAACTCTATCATTTGTGAGACGTTTGGTGGGCACCTTGGAATATGGACGTTTCGGGCATGCAATGACCAACTTAGGAGACATCAATAATGATGGGAGGGAAGGTATGTTGATCCAATTAAGAATTTATGGTCTGAATTTCTCACTCCTCCAGACACTGTCTCCTCCCTCCTTTTAATTAGCATGCACTCCATATAAGGGCATTCATGTGTATCAAATTATATAATAAAATTAAGAGGCATTTTTGGTAAAAAGGACAAACTATAGTGCTTGAAATCAGCTCAAACTTAGTAATGAAGCATAAGAACATATCAAAAAATGCATTGAAAATTTAGATTTTTTTTGGATTTGCAAAAAAATTATGCCCAATGCCTTTATGTACTGTAATGAGTTTAACTAATTCAAGTAAATATTTTTTGAGCTATGAGCATCTGAAAGACTTAATATTATGCCAGATAAATATGGCTCATTACTCTTCTCTTTCCTAATTTTTCTAGATATTGCAATCAGTGCTCCATTTGGTAACAGCTCTGGCACTGTGTACATTTATTATGGTTTATTGAATGATGTCATATCAAGCACGCCATCTCAAGTACGTATCATGTGATAGTCATGTGACATTTGTTCATGTGCAATGTCTCCCCATTAGATTATTGTTGGTAGTGATTTAATTCGAGGTTCAATTGTTAACGAAACCAAAGGATTTGGATCAGCCCTCTCTTCTTCACTGGATGTAGATGGGAATCAAATTAATGGTGATCGAATTTATTATTGATATAATTATTTATTTTTATTTTGTTGTTCCCCAGATCTTGCAATTGGGGCTTATTTTACTCAGCAAGTATTTCTCCTCAGGTACTATATCTGTGTATACTTGTTGTTGATGTGAGTGTTTGTGATAATGAATTAGGTCCAGAGCTGTTGCCCAGGTTTCTTTATCAGTGACGTCTTCACCAGCAGTCATTAATGTCCAACCTGGTTCCAATAATACCTGCCCATACATGTCAGGGGAGCTTCCTTGGTAAGAGACTATAAGCAAATAATTAAGCAATTTGTTATAATGTTCGTAATTGATGTGTTTTTTTTTATTTTTTAATTAGTTTTAACGTGACCATCTGTGCGAGTTATCCCAATATTGGTACCTTGGGGGAAAACATTAGTAAGTCATTAGCATCTATTATTTATTCATTTATTTATTTATGTATTTATTTATTTCAGATATTACTTTTGTGATATCAGCTGATCGGCAGAAGGTAGAACTAGGCTTGGAACAGAGGGTTTTCTTTGCCAGAGGAGCAATGGACAGCAACTCAATCACTGTAACTAGGACTTTTGATAGAAGTGTTGAACAGTGTATCACCGAGACTGCTTTAGTTAAAGTAAGAGAGAGAGAGAGAAAGAAAGAGAGGGTCCAGGACAGAGTTTCCCACATGATTTTGGCTTCATTGGGTGAAAGAGCAAAGAATCTGTACTAGTACTCAGTCACAGAAGCTAAAACTTATAGCCTGACCCAAATTTTGTAAAAATGGCTAGAAGAGAATTTTCCATTTTTATATTTTTCCCTGATACGTATACACATCCTTATGCTATGTTTCAAAACTGAGCTGATTTCAATCAAGTTTAAATTTTTTATGAATTTTTAAAGTTACTCAAAAATTGGGCCGAAATCCCTGTACTATAGTACAGGGATTTTGGCCGAATTTGGTCAAAAATGGCTAAAAAAGAAATTTTCATTTTAATATTTTTTCCTGATTTATATAAATGTTCTTATGTTAATTTTTACATTTGAGCTGATTCCGATCAAGTTTGGATTTTTTATGAATTTTTAAAGTTGCCCCAAATGCCATGTACTGTATTGTAGTGCTTGTCAGCTCATGAAGCTCATGCTGTTTAGCTCACTTAACATGCTTTGTGTGTAACTCTGGTGGGAAGGGAGGGAGATTAAAGTATCGCATTGCATTCTCTCTCTCTGTCACATATAGAATGGGATACTGGACACATTTAACGGTTTCCAAATTGATGTCTCAGCCTCTGGTCCTGACTTTACATCGTCTGCTACCAAAGGAAACCCTCCATTAGTTAATCTTGTTGATTTCCCCATCGTGACTACACTCGGTAGAACTCAAGTATCAGTTGAGACTTTGAAAGAGTGCGAGAACTCTGAATGTATACCTGATCTTCAGTTGAAGCTCCTTAATTCAACTTTTGAGTATGTGGTGGGAAAGAAAGGGAGAGAGAGAGAGAGAGAGTAAAGTATACCTTAGGTTCACTTTTGATTGTGCATTAATTACCATTTTAGCAAGGGGTTTTTAAAAAGCTAAATTAAGCATCTTTAACTAACAAAGAAAAGCACTTAAAGCTAAGCCCTCATGTATCAAAAATTCTAAAATTATTGTGTGCCATTAAAAGTGAACTGTATGTGTATGATATTCAAGCGAATAAACCCTGTTTGTTTTGTTCAGGACATCCACCGGTGCCTCTACTTCTTCACTAACAGTTGGTCTTGTTACTAATATTAACTTTTGGATGAACATCAGTAATGTAAGGGACGACGCTTTTCGTACAACAATCTCATTCAATCTCGAACCTCAGTTTGATTTTGTGCGAGTTGAGCCAAGAAACGTAAGCAAGCTAATAATTTCTGTTTGTTCATCCTCCTCCTCCTCCTCTCCTTTTATATACCATTTAGTATCATTGACATTGTGTTGTTATTATTATTATTATTATTATTATTATTATTATTATTATTATTATTATTATTATTATTATTATTATTATTATTATTATTATAGTTGTTAATATCGTGCGATGATCCTCAAACACAAGGAAACATAACTAGACACACCTGCTCTATAGCTAACGTACTTGGAAGCAACATGAACGTAAATTAATAAAAATAGCAATCGTATATTTATTTATTTTTCTGCATAAATACAGCGTGTTATTGCTATAAGAGTCCGTCCTACTAGACGGTTGACTGGTTCAGAGGGTGTGATTAGACTCCAGTTCAATGCTGGCAGTATCAATCCTGAGGACTCATCCACACTGGCTGATAACTCTATTGAATATGCACTCAACGTGTCAGCACAAGCGGACGTGTTTCTTGATCAAGTGTAAGTTTGAAGTGATTATAAATTTTAAAAGATATTTAAAATTAAAAATTCTGATTAAAAATTTGAATTTTTTATTTTCTTTAACAAATATGCTAACATAAGTACATTTGTAATTGAAGTAACTTTATTATCTTTCTTCTATTGCTTTTTTTCACTCTTCCTCCCTCTCTCTCTCTCTCTCTCTCTGTTGCAGTATTGTATCCCCACAGCAGGTATCATATCTAAACAACAGGACATCTTCAAGTTCAATATCTGAAGTTACTGATCTTGGACCTCAAGTCTCATTCTCTTTTGTTGTAAGCACACCTGTTGTTGTTGTTTTCATTGAAGTTTATTGAGTTATATATTCTTATCATGTTACTATTTGAAAAGGAAATCATTGTTGTCGTTATTAAGTTGTTTTTGTTTTTGTTGTTGTCGTTTAGGTCCGTAATCAAGGTCCCAGTACAATACCATTGACTCGTCTCTCTATTCGTTTCCCTCGAGGAACAGACTCTAGTAATGGTAGCCATCTTGTCTATCCGTCACATTTCAGAGTAACTACATAATAAAATTTATCCTTATATTTTTTATTCACTCCTTTTCCCCTCCCTCTCATCCACTTACTATTTCCCGACTTTCTTTCTTCCTTTCTTTCCTTTTATTTTATTTTATTCCTCTCTCTCTCTCTCTCTCTCTCCAGGTACAATCTGATGTATCAGTTACATGTAGCACTGAAAATGTTAATCCTGGCGATTTCCAGATCCCCAGTATTGGAGGAACAGATGGAGAGCCAGAGAATCAAGGAGAGAACAATGCCAACACGGGAGGAGGAAACAGGAGAAGAAAAAGAATGTAAATAATTAATCTTCACCTACTGCAAATTTCATTAAAATAATAATTATTATAATTATTTGACTTTCTCTGCAGGTTAGAGCCTGATAGAGGCAGGTCGAAGCGCTCCCTTGAGATGACTGTCCGTCAAGAGAGTACTCCTGGTTCTGGGGCTGCAGGGACAACTATTGTAAGAGAAAAAATTATTTATTTTTGTCATTCATCCCCCTCCTTCTCTCTTTAGAATTGTAGAGATAATCAAACTCATTGTGTTGAGCTGTATTGTACCATCAGGCAACTGGCGCAAGGTGGAAGCACACAGATTGACCTTGTATCCTACTTGGACGAGAGAAGCTACATTGTACGTAATACTTTTGATAAATTGTTTCACAAATTTGCATGGGTGCAGTTAAATTGCGTTCATAATAAAGAGATACATAAAAGAATGTGTGATCATGAAATGATTGAGAAATGATGTCATGTAGCCACAAGGAATGAAATTTCTTAATATATAATCATTACAGTGTTCTGCTACCAAGCAGCTATTCAAAGAATCTCCCATGCACAAACATGTAGTACAAACACACACTTAGGTCATACTTCATGATTTTATGTTTCCTCTTCCTTTGCCTCTCACTCTCTCTCTCTCTTTCCTCTTTGCTCCTTTTAGGGTTCCTCTAGCACTTACACATTCATCATATTTGCTCAAGCAAACATACTTGATTCATTTATAGTCCAACCTCAAAATCACAGAACAGATATAACTGAAGTCAGCTAGTCCTTGCTTAATATTGCACATAATTATTATTTTAATTATATAATTATTTCTATACAGACTCAGTTCAGAGCTGTAACTAGTACCAGCCCATCCAGTGAAGGTGAAAAGGTCCAGCCATGGGTCATCATTGTGACCGTGGTATTGGGTCTTTTATTCTTTGTCATCCTCTCCGTTATCTTGTACTTTGTAAGTTCATAATCACTTAATTTTTAATTCAGTCTCTCTTTTTTATTTCAGGTTGGTTTCTTCAAGCGTAAGGGAAAGCAAAGGAAGGAGGAGCTGAATGCTCAAATGCTTGAAGACCAGCAAGGAGGGGACACGCCAATGAATGATTCGAATGGGCTATAATGCTGAGGTCTTGCTCAGTTCTTGTCATTAACATCCCCAGCTCTCTTTCTCTCCTTCTTTTCCTTTAAAATAGAATTAATAAAACTTTTTAACTCTTAAAAATGTGTTTGTAGCTTGAAGATAATATAATAAAGCCGTGTTGTTATTATCATTATTATTATTATTATTTGCCAGCAATAAAAAATATTTATTAATAGTTAAAGTTATTGAAAAACGGTTAATAAAATAATGAAAGTCGATGAATATCCTGTTATTTAATTAGCTCTTTCTTTGCAAAACGAGAATTCAAGACAGAGGGGTGATAATGCGTCTCTTTCTCCTCTCTCTACTCGTGGGGCTGTCCATAGCTCGTTTAGATGTACTCAAGCCTATAGTCAAGAGGTCCCCGGCGGCTGGAAGACCCGCGAGCGTAGGAGGCGGGTCGGACGATCAGTTCGGTTTCTCAGCAGTGGTGCATCAACTGTTTGAGGACAGTACTGGAATGAGCTTTAGTGAAATAATAGATCAAACTGTGTAAGAGAAGGAGAGGGAGGAATGAGATAGAAAGGAGTACATGTACATTGTACATTACATACACATAGCATGGCACATGATGATATTGTGTTGATTGGGTATTCTTTCTATTGAAATTAAACAAACTATTACAGAGTAAGGGTCGCATTCAAAATAAACAAATGTGCATTAGACATCTTCCTTTCCCCGCTTAATATTCTATTAAATTTTAAAAGAGTCTGTATAGATTATGCAGTATATACAGCACTGTGCATGTCGGATAATGTGTAATAAATAACACATTCCTGTGGCTTTTATTGTGTAGTATTGTAGTAAGCAAAATCAAATCCTTGTTAATTCCTTTTGCAATGCATGACTCTCTTGGCAAAAACAACATTTTATTTAATAATGACGCTATAATTGATTATTATTACCACTATTAATATCATTATGTATTATTATTAGAATAATATCGGGAGCACCTAGAGGAGTGTATCCAGGTGGACTTGACCTTCCATTAGATTATAGAGCATGTCAGCGATACACCCCAGCAGCAAACTGCTCGGCCCATAATGCCATGATTATGAATTACACTGATGAACAGATCATTGATTGTTACAGAGAACTGAGGAATGGACTTGTGTACTCCTGTCCTCTTTCCAGCGGAGAGTGTTCAGCTCTTGCTAGTAACGACACTGTGGAAGGGAGATATCCTTTTGATAGTGTTGGTAAGTGATAGGGTATGTTAGGGTTTTCCCACGGGATTTCAGCATAGGTTCTTGTCACTTGATTTTAAAATTGCTCAAAATTTGAGACAATACTATAATACTATACAGGGTATTTTTTAGAAATGACTAGGAAAGAATTCTCCATTTTTATAATTTATTTTTAAACATACATGTATATATACATGTAGATGTTCTTATGTTGTGTAGCAAGTTTGAGTTGAAAATTGGATTTTTTTTTTACAAATTTTTAAAGCTACTCAAAAATTAGGCCAAAGTCCCTGATGGCATGATGTCCTTATATAGAGGTTACACTTTACATTTTAATGCTGTTTTATCCTTGGGTGCTTCAATGCAGTCTTATTTTTGTAATTGTTATTCTTATGCCTATGTAAAGTAGATAATGTCACAATAATAATTATTAATTATTATGTACATGTAGGTGATTATACCGACCAGTGTCAAACTGAATTGAAGCTTGGAGAATTATTTTCAATAAAAAATCAGAAGATGGGTATGACCCTTTTCAGTAATGGCAGCACTTTCTTGGTAATAAGTCAAAAACACTTACCCTACATGTATTATAATCCTCTTCATTCATCTAGGCTTGCTCTCCATTATTGGTTAATTATTTATATTTATCTGATGGAAGTATACTTTCTCACCATCCATCAGGCCGTTGTGTCATTTCAGGCAGAAACCTTCAAGGATTTAAGAGTCTTACTATAGATCAGTGCAATGGTACTGTATTATTTTATAATGTCACAGTTTACTGCCTGCCTTTCTCTTACTCTCTCTCCTACTCCCTCCCTCCCCCCTCTCTCTCCCCCCTCTCTCTCTCCCCTCTCTCTCTCCCCTCTCTCTCTCCCCTCTCTCTCTCCCCTCTCTCTCTCCCCTCTCTCTCTCCCCTCTCTCTCTCCCCTCTCTCTCTCTCCTCTCTCTCTCCCCTCTCTCTCCTACTCCCTCCCCCCCTCTCTCTCCCCTCTCTCTCTCTCTAGTTCCTGACAATGGCGTTAGCCAGCATGCTTATTGCTTGACTGGTTTTAATAAACCAGCAATTTTTAATTCTGGGTTGGTTTTTGGTCAGCCGCTTTGGCGAATACAAGGAGCTGCTTATTATTTTTCTGATCCACTTCAATCCCCTGGCTCTTCTGTTAGATATAGCAGAGCCCAAACTTCAAATTTTGAACAATATTTTGGTAAGACCTAAGTAATAAAACTTGTGTGTAAATTAATTTTATAACAATTTTATTTTAGGATATGCAGTGGCTACTGGTAACTTATTCAATAAAACAATTACAAGTAATGCATTGTTTACATGATGCATGCATGTACATGTACATACATTTTCATGGAACTATTATTTTGTTAAATTTATGTTGATTAATTGTTTTTAATTGGCAATTTAAAGCCATGTGCCATTGAGCTTGTACTATACATGTACATAATAGTCTCCAGGTTTTATTTTGGCAGATGGCTCTCAAATTTCAAATTAACAAATTTGCCCAATTTTAGACCTTTAAAGCATTAAAATGAATTTTGTGAAATAATAGAGACTTGATACTCAGTCGTCATGATGGTGTATATTTTTGTGTAATAGTTGTACATTTAATTGTGTATTCAATAGATACTATAATATCGGCTCCAATTTATCATGATGATGATGCTGGTAAAACACTACGAGAAAGAGTGAGTTTTTTTCAATAATAATAATTAATAATTGATTATTATTCACATAATGTCATGTAGGCATTTATTTATGAAGATCGTTCCATCGAAACAAATATTTTTGTAAATGGTTCCTCGGTAATTCCCCTCTCTCTCTCTCTCTTTCCTTGAATTCTTTTACTTTCTCTTTTCTTTATTTAACGTAAGTCTTTATCTTTTCTAATTTTAGAGCGGTGAATATTTTGGCTATACTCTTGCGACAGCTGACCTTAACGGTGATGGGTAAGTGTTTTTGTTGATTTGGCTGGTGCTACTGTTTACTTATCATTAATTGTAGCTTGTATTAGTGTTTATTTATTGTCAATGGTGTTGTTTTTTGTCGTTATTATTAGCTTTGATGATTTATTGGTTGGAGCTCCAATGTATTCTAATTTTGGATCACCCATTAGAACACTACTGGGTAGAGTATACATATTCACTGCCATCGTGAGTACAATCAACATATAGTAATGACTTGGCTCTCACTTTCTCCCTATACTCGCCTCCTACTCTACTCTCTCTCTCTCCTTCTCTCCCTCTTCTTTTAGAACAATACATTAACTTTAAGTAAAGTATTACAAGGGACTGAACCTGGTGGACAGTTTGGTTTATCTGTTGAGCCGATTGGTGACACTAACAATGATGGATATGATGGTAATACACAATTAAAAAACTAATACCTTATTTATTCTGCCTACTCTTTCATTTTAGATTTTGCAGTCTCAGCTCCATATGAAGGCAATGGGTTTGTGTATATTTATTATGGTCAAGAGATGGATGAATCTGGCTCTATCGTTAACACTACTTATCAACAAGTAACAATGTCATTTATTTATTTATTTATTTATTTATTGTTTTATTAGCGTATTAATGGTTCAGCTGTTGCATCTCAAGTAACTGATATCCCATCAGTTAGTTCCTTTGGGTTCTCTCTCTCTGGTGGTACTGATGTTGATCAAAATGGGTACAGAGGTAAGACTATGTTACTTTTTCCGTGCATCCATCTTTCCTCCTTCCCCTCAGATCTTGTTATTGGAGCTTATGAGTCTCAGAGTGTATTTGTATTGCGTACTATACCAGTAGCTATCACTAATATCAGTATGACATTTAATACTGAACAAGTTATGCTACAAGACTATGATTGTGTATATCAAGGAAATCCAGTGGCATGGTATAATAATTTATATGTATATTTAGTAATTTTTATTTTTTTTACTTAGTTTTATAGCTACACTATGCTCTCAGTATGAAGGAAAAGGACTGCCTTCCGGATTTAGTAAGAACATGAATTCACAGAGAGAGAGAGGGAGGAGAGAAAAACAGAAAAAATAACGATGAAGAAAAGTTGTAATTTTTATCATTGCATGTATATGACAGGTGCTAATTACACGTTTGAAGAGGTCACGGGGTCTGGGCAGGCCCCACGATTAATGTTTCAAGATGGAACTACTGGTAGCAGTATCAGAGGACCAGTAACATACACTGGTCCTGGTATTCCAGCCTGTTACAACATCACAATATTTGTATCGGTAAGGGACTCTGTACCAATATAATCATAATAGCTATTGAGTTAAAAAATATTATAGAATTTTGTGGCTTTCTTAGAGAAAAAATAATTGTAAAAAAACATAGGCTACACAATATAAATTTTCTCATTCAACAATAGTTTTGTTGTTCAAGCATTATCTCTTGATAAATTTAGCCTTATGTGCTAAAATTTTTAGCAGTCAGTGCACAAATGAGCACAATCATTACTTTCATCACTGTTGCTGTTTTTCGTTATTCTTTTAGAATACTACTATATCCAGTGACATTAGTGATTTGCTAATGAGAGCAACGATACTGGATATACCAACTGACACGTCTCCAGTCAATACAAACTCGGTCCCAGTTGATTTCTCTGCTTCTCCCGACATTAGAGTATCCCCAGTCACTGAAGCATTGCAGGTCTCAACACAGTGTGGGAATGACTTCATCTGTGACTCTGATCTCCAATTAAGAATAAGCAATGTGATATATAGGTACATGGATGTATATGTATAATTGGTATTATGCATGCAAATTTATTACAGTATAATATAGTACAGTCCTTCCTCTCTCTCTCTCCCATATTAGGAAGTCTGATCCAAATCAGTTATCATCTGATCAAAGTCAAATTGTGATTGGTGACACGTCGTTTGTTGATTTGATCGTCAGTTTAACTAATGTAGAGGAAGACGCTTTCAATTCTTATCTCGTTTTTGATTTAACAAACACGTACTTCTCTTCAGCCACATCTCCCAATGTAAGAACAAATAATATCACAACTTTCATTATTAAAGCCAAAACTGTATTGTCTTTATTGATACAGAAGTGTCCTCATTTCAGAGGTACTTTTGTATAGGCATGTAGTTGCAATTATCTTTAAATAATAATAATGATAATAATAATAATAATAATAGTAATATTAAATAAGATTCTCTCTCTCTCTCACTAGTCCTCCATTACTTGTACTCTTTCATCAGACAATATAACTCAGTACACTTGCACTGGTATCAAGTCTCCACTCAAATCAACTGATCCTCCTCAAATCATTGCAATACGACTAACTCTAATTTCTAGCATCAGAGGAAACGAGGACCCATTCGACTTAGTTATATCAGCTGCAATACCTGAGCAACAGCGCAACAGGGAGAATGATACTTTCCTCTCTGACAATAGCATGAGGAGAAGTATTGCATTTGCTGCTGTGTCATCATATACTTTAAATATGTAAGCCATAATTATTATGAAGTAAAGGAAGACATGCAAAAATTGTTTTTTTCTTGTTTTTCCTCCTCTCCTTCTCTTCTTCTTTAGGTTTTTCATTCCTAATACTTATACATATTCTGGTGCTAGGCCAGCAGCTCTAAACAACATATCCAGTAATCTTGGGGACAGGTTGAGTCTCAGGGTCTCTCTGAGGAACTCTGGCCCCTCCCCTTACCGCGGCTACCTCAATATATACATACCAGCTAGGAAACCCTCCGAAACTGCCTCCAATTATTATTATTATCCTGTCAAACTGGTAAATAAAAATTTACATATAGTTTTTATAATAATTGTTATTTTAAAATGCAATCCATTTTATTTCTTTCCTCCAACTCTCTCTCTCTCCTTTCTTTCTCTAGGCTGGTGCTGATAATAATCTCAATTGTGCCTCCAATCTCAATCCCAATAACTATAATACTGACAATGTACAGAGTAGCGGACTGCAAGGTGGTGCTGGGAGAAGGCGCTCGCGTAGAAATTTATCATATTTGACACCAAAACATCATAATGCATTGAGAATCAGACAAACTGAAGAAATGGAGACAACATTTAATCTTGTAAGTTAGGGCAGAGAACATATGTTTACATTTTATTATTAAAATAGATAATATGATTATTATTGCTATTATATTGTTATTATTGTCATTATTAGGATTGTCAAGCAACTCCAATGGAGTGTATGCTAATACAGTGTAACGTCTCCCTTCTGGCCAGTGGGAGTGTCATCTCACTAGAAATAATAGGATTCATTGATGAGCGATTCTTTCAAGTAAGAGATGGAGAGAGAGAGAGAGAGAGAGAGGAAGGGAGGAAGAGGAAGAGAGAGAAAGAAAGGGAGAGAGAAAGAGGGAGGATACACAAGTAGATGACTACCTGTGTCTTAAAGTTGATGTGTGTCTATTATTCTCATGCATATGTATCTAAATTAGGGACAAACGACAGATTATAATTTAAAAGCATATGTTGAGGGTGACATTAATGACGGGTTTACTGTCACAGCAAACAGCTCAAGAGATAGTACTGTAAGTTACTAACTGAATTATTAGCTACTAATGATAATTGAATTGCTCATTTGTTGCATGTATGCAGGGTTTCCCACAAAGCATGCTAAGTGAGCTAAATAGCATGAGCTTCTTGAGCTGACCAGCACTACAATACAGTACATGGCATTTGGAGCAACTTTAAAAATTCATAAAAAATTCAAACTTGATCAGAATCAACTCAAATTTGAAAATTAGCATAAGAACATTCATATAAATCAGAAAAAATATTAAAATGAAAGTTTCTTTCTTAGCCATTTTTGACCAAATTTGGCCGAAATCCCTGTACTATAGTACAGGGACTTTGGCCCAATTTTTGAGTATCTTTAAAAATTCATAAAAAATGTAAATTTGATTGGAATCAGCTCAAAGTTTTTATACAACATAAGAACAAGTATATGTATCAGAATAAATTATAAAAATGAAAAATTCACTCCTAGTTGTTTTTGGCAAAATTTGGCCGAAGACCCTGTACTAAAGA